GTCTTTCAGTACAGAACAGGTTCTACCCCAAAAGAAATTGCAACATCTTGGCAATGATTTTGTTTTTCAATCAAAGCCACCTCCGTGGCCACAGAACAACGCCCCTGCAATGGAAGGAGTAAGCCAACCCTCAGTTCAATGTAGTACTTCCTCCAACTCGGTTACCCTACACACAAGATCATCCGGCTCACTTCACACTCCATCTAATCTGGGGGGGGGGGTAAATTTTGAAGTTTAGTGAGGACCACATTCAAGTTCAAGTCCAGTCGGCAGCACTGCTCGAAGTCAGTTCAGCGAGCCCGGAACTCCGGGTGATGTATGGGGACTAAGCCCTCTGGAATCATGAGCAGCCCAGGTCGGGTGCCCACCCAAATGACCCTTTCAGTCGGGCAAAAGCTGCATAGTCAAGGTTGCCACGCTTGTCAGCGGCGGGCAAGCCACCTGTGCAGCCACCAAGTGGCATACCACAGGGGTCTCAACGTTGTTGTCAACATGGTCCGCGGTCTCGAAGTCCACGCCGATCACCACCCATCAAGTTTCAGTCCTTCGATGAAAACCTGTTTGGCTATTGACCCCGTAAACCTTCCCCCACCCTTTATTGATCCTGCTTTATTTAAGGTGCTGGCACTGGCTGGTGCGCCTGGCGCTGGCCTCACCTGCAGCTGCCTGGCCCTGGTGGTCTCTGCAGCTTCTTCGCAACCTGGGCAGCTCAAGAATGTCAACTGGGGCCCTAGGGAAACAACACAGGAGGATCAATTTGCAAGACCACTGGGCCACAAATGTCTGTGGATTGCTGCCCTTCACACATTAACCGCGGCCAAACCCTCAGCCTGCAATCCCACCGATAGCTAGGCTAACCCTTGGCATCAACAGCAGGCCTAGCACAAACCACATGGACACCCGTACTCCATGAAGCTTGAATTTAGGGGCAGCTTGTGCAACAAGTATCATCCTTACATGAACTTACAATTCCAGCACGTGGGTGCCACTGACAGTCCCTTGTTGAAATTCCTCAATTGCAACTTGCCCACCAGTGGCTCTATCCAACCGCATCATGTTTCACCCTTGGAACCAGGAGTGAACCTGCATACAAGGGCAGGAATAATGTGTCTTTGGGGGGAGCTGCTGCAGTGCAAAAGACATGTTTGCAGGGTTTATTTTTTCCATGTAGTACTAACCAAGCCAGGAACCCCAACATGTTGGTTCACAGACATGGTTTCAGGCCTGTTTTGTTCATGGAAAGGGCACATTTTGGTTGCTGCACCTCTTGAAGGCAGGCCATGCAGGTTTTGTTCTTGGGTGCAGTGTCATGAGCACACGTGATCTCAGCTAACTAAGGTTAACTAACTAAATTCCAGCGTCAAAAAACACTACGTGCCATGACAGGCATGCTATGGTCAACTGGCTGCCAAGGTTTAGCAGGGATATCATCAAGCACCCGAACAAGTGTGAACTGAGTGCGAAGTAACACTTCCTGCCACCCAAGTTGACTGCTGTATATGCACGTTGGCTGCTTGCTTCCACACACACATGGTTTGTGGCAATGTCAGTGTGTGTTTGTGTTTGCAACACAGCATGGCTCACTTTAAAAACTGATGCACCAGCATCACACACTTGCATGCTTGCGCTGTCACCCTCTGTGACCCCTGCTGCTCACACACGCACACACACTCACACGCACACACTACACACTGAGACTGGCAGCACCTGCGTACGCCTGCTTTCTTGCAAGTTTGTCATCAACCTGTTTACATCCTGAGCTCAAACCAAAACATGTGCGCAACAAGGCTGAAGTAGGAGGACAGTCTAAGCGCGCACACACACACACATTATCCATAGCACACACATTTCATAAAGCGCATGCGTCCACACATGTGCATCAAACCCACTTCGGGCTGCCGAGGCCAAGGTGCTGCGAATGCGCAAGACGCAGCAGGACATGGGTTCCATGAATATGCTGTCTCATTGCACCCTTTGAAAGGCAAGTTAGCACTTGCATTGTGCACCCACACTGCGGATTGCATTCATGGCCATGTTGTGACGCGCAGCCTGCCAGTCATTCTTGGCCACAGCACGTTTGATCATGTGTGTGTGTGCACAGAGGTTTTGGGCTCACATCTGCCTGCCCGCGCACGCGCCTTGCCTGACTCACCCAGCATGTCGACATCAACGACCACCGCGCACTTGCTGAAATGGACTCACAGCCCTGATCGGCCAGATGAATGGGTCTGCCTCTCTGTGGAAACTGCGCAGATCACCTTTCGCAGGCGTACTTGGCTACTTGGCCTGATGAGGTGTCCAAGCCAGGTTGACAGTCCTGACTGGGGTGAACTTAAAACTTAGTCACCCGTTGCCTCCTCGCATTCAGCAACATGTTTGCATGCCTCTCTCCTGCACACAGGTCCAGCCAGCGGGTCGCATGGAGCGGCCTGCACGGTGCTTGGCGGTTCAGCGGCCAGACCTTGGTCCTCGAGCAGTTTCACTGCTGTGGCAGCCAGGTTGACCCCAGCTGCCTGCGCAACCTAACCTTCACGCAGGACCAGGAGAGCCCGACCTGCCACTTGAATTGCATTAGTAAGCCATTGTCACTCCATGTGCTTGACTCACAACACTGAGTTCCATATTCAGTGTGCATCATAATTTTGGTGCTGCGTGACTGCCGCAGTTCGCATTCCCAAGACACACACACACACGTATACAACTTGCCCCACTCAGGTTTCGCAGATGGTGAGGGACGCAAGCTGCACTACAGGGGCACCTTCAATTTGTGGTATTTGCAAATTCCAGGCATCCTGGACAACATGGAGATCAGGAACTCTGACTCGGACTCTGAGTGGGTGCTGGTGTGACCACCTTTTTGGGCTCACATGTCATGCACGCAGCCCAGCCCAGCATGCCATATGTTTGCGATGCGTTTGCGCGTCAAGTCAATGTTAATATGATATGCACACACAAGCTGGCTGGCGCCTAGTGCATGCTGCGAGATGTTTGCTTGTCGGCAGACAATTTACTCCGGAATACACGCCTCATGATGTGCGCCTGCCGCAGATTGGCTACGACTCATCACGTGCTTCAAAGAAGCCCTGGAATAATAGAGCACGCAGACTGTGCCTGCTCTTTCCTAGTTGGATTTCAAATCCCGGCTTGATTGCGTCAAAAAGAGGATCACTTGCGCTTGTTAGTAACTGACTTGCTTGCGAAAGCATGTGTGTCAACATCATCTGTTTGGTATGCATACACCACGCAGCGCCAAATATGAACTTGCAGGACCAGCTTAACCAGATGCTCAGCATCATACTCATGGATGCGGACAGCGCCACTTGCCCTGACATGTATTTTAATTCCCGAAAATAAGATCAGGACCAGTTATTGTGTCCCATGAACGTCGCGTTTCTTGCTTCATGCTCAACTGCCCGTTCAAGGTGAAAGGCTTGACTACTCACAACATCATGCACAGAAGCTTCTACATCTAAGGCTGGCCCCCTTTCTCTGGAATAAGAAGCAAAATGTAGCAAGAATTGTTGATTTGAAGATACTTGCAGATCTATGCCAGTTTGTGCATTTGTGTGAGTATACAGTTGTGTGCCAACACTTTCTAAACAATGCTATGTGGCTGTGACCAAGATAGTTTTAACTATGTGTCTTGTCAGTCACACATGATGTGGAAAAATGACATAGTAATTGGACTGCTGCGCACTCTCCCTGCGCAACCCTGCCGTTTCCTCCCCGGTTTCCTTGTTTTTCTTGGGCTCTGCACTTTGTCTTTTTGGGTTTCCCTGGCTCCCCATGACACACGTGCTGCATTTGTTTCTTGCAGGCCAAGCTCTCAGAATCTATATCAAAATGTCTTGCGGGGGGCGGTGCGCATGTCTTCTGATATTGGGCCTTTAATGTTGAAATGAAGGTTATGTAGAAGTGTGTTTTAGAATCCTTTGTATGATCTTAGTTCAGGGAACACCCATCTGATGTTGAAAGGGGGATAAATCTTGCAAGTAAGGGACACATGGTTTCCTTTCAGGCACAGTGCCACAAAATCTCACACAAAGGGATTCAGGGACACTGTGTGACATTCTACGGGGTGCGCTTCCTGACTGTGTCTTCTCAAGCCTACCTTGGTGCTTCATGTTGCTTAGCAAGGAACTTCACCACCCTAACCAGCCAGTTGCAAATCATCAGTGGCGCACCTTGGGTTGGGGAGAACTCTCAAAACAGGCAACATGTAGGGCAACACGTGTTTGTTTTGCATGATGTTTACACTTCTCCACTCTGAAAGCGCTAGTAAGTGTGACCACACATGACATGGCTTGGAAGGGCCTGGTAGGCTTTTGTAAACCCTTTGATTGCAGGCAGGCAGCAGTGGCAACCTCTGACAAAGTGTGGCCCGTAGTAGTTGTTCCTGAGCCAAGGCAGTCATGCTCATGTTTGCACTGCAAACAACTTCAGAAGAGCACATGCTTCCACTAATTGCCAAAACATGGCTGGTGTACTTGCCGCCAAGGCACAGCTGATGAAGCCAGCAGCCGGTAGCTGGCAGCCGGCAGCCAGCAGCCAGCAACAATGTGAAACACGTAAACATTTCTCCCCTGAATGTCGCGACCAGTTACTAGGTACTAAGTGGTGTACTGTTGGCTCAAGGTTAAGTAAATTCTTTCGCACGGCCAACTGGAAAGCGTAAGTATATGCCCCCCCCAAAAAGGTTTTTGGTCATACCCTTAAAGTTACTTATGCTTCCAACAGCAGTGTCACTTGGTTACCAAGTAACACACTGGTGGAAGAGTGGGGTCTTTTGAGCTCCATAGGCTTCAACTTGGCTCCTCATCTACACACATAGCGACCTATATGCTTCACAGCTCAAAATTTCAGACTTTCCACCCCAAATGAACAGACCCCCCTGTGGAATGAACAAGGATTATTTCCTCTTGAACCCCTTCAAGCATCAAGTACCCTCAAGAGACGAACCCCACCCCTATGAACCGCACCTCACTCCCATCCGCAATGCCAGGCGCCGGCGAGCAGCGCCCAGCCAGTGGATGAGGCGTGTAATGTGTCGGGGGACCCTCTTTGGGTTGGCTCAAAGTGATACCTTAGGAACACTCGTTTTTTTTGTTTCCCGGGATCCCCCGAGTTTTGTTTGACACCCAGAATCTACGAATGTTGAAGGCTCTTAACAGCGGAAGGTGGTAGGAGCTCATTTGTAGCACCATGTTCAGTGGCTTGTAAAGAAAAAACCACTTCGGGGTGGGCACTTCGCCATATGGTTCTGAGACCACTCCCAAGTTCGCAAGGGGAGACATTGATGCCTAATGGTCATCGACGGGTTTGTGTTCTAGACTGCCTTCTGGCATGACCAGCTCGGCCTCCAAGAAGTCGTAGTTGAAACTTGTTGGAGGTTACTTATGCCAGACGGCTTCGAACAAAAAGGCGGCAGAAAGGTTCTGTCCAGATTCTGTCGAGGAGTGCTTACCCCATTAGGTCAAGCTGTGACAGTCCGCAGGCCCTTTGTACGGCATAGGTTTCAATCTTCTGAATATCATCAAAACCTCGGGTGCTCATACGGCTCATACACACCGCTTCCTGATTAAGTTGCATCTGTGGCAATATGTGAGATATGTGAGAGACCCTACCAACCCCTTGCCTCCACACCCCCAGCAAGAGGTAGGGGTTAACACGCCTTATGAGGGGGGGGACTAAGGCCAATCCGGCAGCCCGAGAAGGGGCCTCTTGGGGGCAGGGGTTTGTTGTAATGCTTCCATGGTTGTTGTTGAGAAACAGTTTTCCCATTTTTGCGTATGGTGGCTTAGTGGTGGAAATCCAACCACTGAACCAAAATTTAAATTGTTGCTCCCCTTCCAACGTCAACCAAGGCTAAACGAAACTCATCCCCTCCGCAATGGCTGTGACTCGGCCCAACTTTGAATGGGTGCCATGCCCAGCTTCTATCGCTTCTGGGAGAATCCATTTGGCCGTCTCATAGGGTGCTGAGTAGATCTGAGTAGCTGATAATAACACTATCATATTCCCGAAAGGAGACCAAGGCGGAGATGGAGGTTGTCTAGTTTTGGAAGCAGCAATCCAGACAATCCAGAGGCCTTTGCAGGATTTTGCCCACAGCAGCAAACAGTTTGGCTTACCCTGCAGGTCAACATGGAATCCAAGTAGCCACAATTTTGCGTATGTGTTTTTAGGGGGCCCCCAAAACGAAAGTTGTCCTCATGGTGCTCACTCAAATCGCAAAAACGGTAATTCCCCTCAAACAATTACACAGCCATGTTGCCTAGAGGAATCGCCTTTTGGGCAACGGACCCGGAAGTCTTGCCGAGGGTTGAGACCAAACCACGTCCTTTGCCATGAAAAACCGTGGCAAAATGCGGACGATCAAGGGTTTTTCCCACTTGTTCTCCGCTGGCAAAAACGAGTTGGCATCAACCGACCTGTATTTTTCTGCCGCCAGGCTCTAGCGCAGATGAAGCGGATAGCTGACCTGGAAAAGGACCGAAGCCAAAATCTAGGCCTAGAGGCTGGGTCTCTTGGTATCTCGCGAATTTCATGGGTGAAAACCAGAAATCCCCGCTATTTACAAGGCTTAAACACTCCTTTTAGTAAGGGACTGACCTACCCCAAACCAAGATAGAGGGCTTTTAGAGTGTCCTGCAAGCGATGGTGGCGGTGATGGGGTGCACCATACCGCGCACACATGCTATGTTGTTTTGGGGACAAACAACATGATGGAATTTCTTTTGGTTTTGCTGTTATACCATACACACGGGGTACCCTCAAAACTGACACCAAATGTGAATGTCCTTAGACCAAAGAGCGGCACAAGATTTCCTTATCCAGAATTGGTGAGCTGGATTTGCTTTGTGTGATGAAAACCCGCAGGTTTGCCTTGGTGGGAACAGTTTGGCACTTCCAGCTCCTCTTGATTTGCCAAATTAGGGGGAGCTACTGCCTACCGAGCAACATGTGGTACTCCCCTACAGATTTGCATGAAACCCCGGTGCTTTCCCCAAGATGGATGGCATTTGCTTTGTCCCTTATATATATATATATGTATAGCAATTCTTCACAAACATTGCCACCTGCGAACATAGAATCTACCAGGGGGGCCTTGCAAGAGTTGGCTTCTTTTTGGCAGGTTACCGCAGGTTAAATGTTAGCGTGTGCGAGGGCAATCTCTTTGTTTGACATTATTACTTGCATTGTGCACTGAATACGGTCCAAAATAGGGGACCCCCAAAATGATTGGCTTCCTTTTCGTTTCCAGTCGGAGATGTATTTGGTCTGTCTTTTTTGTGGTTGCTACCCCTACAGGGGGAAAAACAACAAAGCCACTTTGGGAGTCCAAATCATGAAAAGACACCCAACTGTTCTCTGAGGGACAACGCCAAAGGCCACAAAAGCGGCCACCCCCCCCTCTCGGGGAAGCTTTGGAAGGAGCCTTTTGATCGAGGTCCTGAAATCCCAAACCCAAATACCCACTGTTTTCACGCCATGATGTCAGCCCCCGACCAACTGCGAATTGTTAGTTCATGTTAGTTCCAAAAACCTTGCTTGCGAAAATACACCCCTTTAAATAAAGGATGCGTTTTTGGAGTACTTGAGGCTTCTCAGGTGCGAAAACGGGCGGATCGGCGTTATTCAGGAGCTCAAGGTCCAAAGAGACGCTGAGGCGGAGGCCCGAAAGCTCCGGCAGGCCGGAGATGCCTTTGGGGGCCTTTGGGGGCATTTTGGTGCGAGGTTAGATTGTGCCACGGTCAACTCAGTTGTCCAACCATTTTTAGTAGAGGTGCCAAAAGGTCAACCTTTTAGTTCTGGGTCCTTTGGGCAACTGAGTCAAAGCACCTTACAATCCTCGGCTCAAGATGCCTTTGGAGTCGGCTTGGTGAGCCTTGAGAAGGGCATCCGCGACTTCGTTCGTAGGTCTTCGACGTTTGTTCCGTGCTCTCCTTCATCGAGCCCTAGGTATTGGTTCAGCCTGCTGGTTGTTCAGGCCTCTCCCGGATGGGAGAGGATGGATTTGCTTCCAAACGCCCGTTTGCATGGCGTCCGGCTCTAAACCTCGCACGTTTTGAGCTCAGATATCCTGAGACGCCTTCAGGCAAGTTCGGGGGCCGATCTCTCTCAATTGCCTCCTTGGCCCTCGGGGTCATGGCAGACGACGAGTTTATGTCCGCGTTCTCGAAGGCTTCAAAGGCTGCAGGCTGCAAACACGTCTAACCCTTGTCGCCCCGAGCCTCACAACACACACCGGAAATATTTGCCCGGGGGTGGGCGGCCAAACTGAGATCTGCGCTTCCATGGCTATGCTATGGGCTTGAGCCAGTTTCCAGCCTATTATCACTGTTATAGCTTGTTCAAACCTCCCCCAAGTGCAGCTAACCCGTTGTTTGGGAAAAACTGCGTGAATCCAACCGCTTTGTTCTGCTACGTAGCTTGGTGACGAGCATCGCAGTCCTTATCAGACATAGGCGTTGTTTTAAAGGGGAATATTCAATCATGAAGCGTGTTCCGCATGCATTGGGTTTGTCTTCAATGAGGGTGCCTATTTAGGGTGGTGGGCTCTAGGGTTACCAAGGGGAACAAGGGAACTGCTCACGTGTTTGGCACTCTCCATGTTCAGGCAAACCCGTTTGTTGTCTATATGGGTTGTTTGCAGGGTTGCGCTGCACCCCATTGTTTGAACATGCCTAAGCACTTCTTGTTCAGACAGCCTTCTCTTGTTTCGATTTTCATGGTTACCATGGTAGGTACTTTGTTTCACAAGGGGGCAGCAATTCAAAGTTACGTCATACAAGAGACATTCCCGGTTGATCCCAGTTTCAAGCAGAGAAGCTAACAAGCCATTTGTTTTGCGTCTTTCAAAGGTTGGCCGCCTTGGTTACCTACACCTAGAGGTTACCGTTCCGCTTACGTTATTTCTGACTTCTGGCAGTCTGGAGCCTGTTGGCCCAGGCGAGCAGAGACATGCTCAACGTCTCTGAGCTCTCCGGTGAATTGGCCTGCTGTGTGTGCAAGGAGCGGGGGGGCGTCAAACGAGTCGAGTCGAGACATATTTGTTTCTGCGTGTGTGTGTGTGTGTATGTTTTGTGTCTGGGTGTGTGCTGCTCCTGTCGAGTCATTTCAGGTGGCCATGCTGGCGGCTTTTTTGCAATGATAATGAAGAGAGAGAGAGAGAGAGAGAGAGAGAGAGAGAGAGAGAGGAGAGAGAGAGAGATAGAGAGAGAGAGAGAGAGTGAGGGGGAGAGAGAGAGGGTTTTGCTCTTGTGTTTGTTGTTTTGGGGGAGGGTTGCCTTGAAAGAACGAACAGAAATCAAGCCTTTGTGTTTTGGTGGCTTTTTTTTACAAGGATAACTAAGAGACTCCATTTTGTGGATTGACAGTGGGCTGCTCTACAACTGCACTTGAAACAACACCTGCCATTTGCTTCGCCGATATTGCGTGGCTTCAAGAGTACACTTGACAGACAGCCCGCCTCTGTGGGGTGTACCCATTTTTAGTAGCTTCAAAGGGATAATCAAGAGAACATCTTGGGAATCCCAACTTTTGGATGGCTTCAAGTGGACAGCTTAGCGAAAACCCGTCTTTGCTTTTGTTTAGTTTTTTATTGAAGAGGTGTTGCCAGTGGTTTGGGACAATTGAGGCACACTCTCCAGAGGTACAACAGTCCTTGAGGGTGGCTTTGACTTGGTTTCCCCAATAAGGGAGCCCTCAAACAGATTCAGCACCAATCTTCCCCAGAAATAGTTCCCCTTTTTGTTTTTTCCTTGTTTGGGCCCCTTTGTTTTCCATTCACCGAGCAAACACAACGTGTTTGTTTTTTGCTGTTTGGTCCTAATTCCAGCCAAGCCAATGAGCTACCGATTCTTTTCTGTCAGCTTGCGAGAGGATTGGCTGGTGCACGCCGCCACGATCCAGTGCTCCCACAGCTTCTGCTGGTCCTGCATCGACCGCTGGCTCCAGACCCAGCAATTCGTGTGCCCCGTGTGCCGAGACGAGGCCGGGAGGTGCCGGGGCTTGGGACTCTTCGTCTGCCATCTGCGAGGAAGGGAAGGCACCAGAGAAAGGGATTCCAACCGCTTTTTGAGACTATGATTTTTAGTCATCTCTGTCAGATGACTAGGAAATACTAGTGTGCAAACAAATATGCCCATTTGCCTGCTTGCAAGGGGAATGGCAAGGTGTTGCGTGCATCGTGTTCCTTTTTGCGGCATCCTTTTGCGAGCAACCAATGTAGGTAGTTGCATACTCCACGGCTGTGAGGGAACTGATCGTCACCGATGTCGTTTTCAAGAACGTTCAAACATGGCTTGGTACAGTCTTAGTACCAAGCTTGTGTGAGTTTGCTCTTGGTGGGATGTGTGTTCACAGAGAAATCTAGGGTGCACAACATTGGTAGATATCACCATGGACGCAACTCTGAAGAACGCAACCTTTTCAGCGACCTTTTCAGCAACCTGTTTGTCAATCTTCGGAGGCACTGACAAAGGTTTCCAATCACTCACAGGCAACAAAGTGAGTGCATGTGGGAGGTACTGTTTTCAACACGACAACGGTGTCCAACCACAAAGAAGTAAGAACCGGCGCTGAGAAATCATATTCCCAGTTTGGGAATGAACCATAATGGATCCACCGGTTGGATGGTTCACTTTGGGGTTCGAAACAGCAAGCTTGGGCCCTGTTCAGTGGCGCCAATGCAAACTAACCTTGGCGAAGCCCGAGTTTTCGAGGTGACTCGAGAGCCAGTGCGCACCCGAGCGGTGGATACCATCGTGCAGAAGACGGTGCAAAGGCTCCCAGCAGCCGAACAGGCGCGGAACTCGAGAAAAAATGTGTGACGCCCAACGGACAAACACATGAGCCCGATATCCCCAACAGCCCCGGAAGCCTCTGAACAACCCCCTGACAAAAACCACCCCCACGGCCTTTCTGGGCAGAGACCCTATAAGCTTTCAGCTGGAACACAAGCAAATGCAAATGGTATGGGTGACCCGTGGCGCGACATGGGCTCTATTTCAAGTTGCCTTCATTCTGGGAAACTGCTGTTCCAGGGGTTGGCGGGTGGTTTGAAGTTTCAATCTTTGAAGGGAAACAAAGCGAAACCAAAGCGAAGTCAACCCAGAAACCGAAAGAGCGCGATATCCAAGGCCCTGGAGAGTTTCTGGATTTCTGTACCTGGGTTCAAGGGGTGCAGCCTTATTGCCGATTGATTATGTCAACTATGTCAATATATGGATGTGTTTCAAACTAGGGGCACCCCAAAATATGGGCGTGTTCATCTGATTTCCCTTCAAACTACGCCCAAAAAGGTACCCGCCACAAAAAAACACACCACACCCATATGACAAGGGGGGGTAAGGTTCGCAGGTGCTTTTCGGTGCACAGCCGTTGTTCCGCATGGACATCCGCTGGGCTGAGAACTGCTCAGGCAGAGTACGAGGAGAGAGTTCGAGCTGCCGAGGTTGGGCGATGGCAGGGCTCGCACAGGTCTCCACCCCTGTAGTGCTACATGGCCATGGTTCAAAAACCCATGGAATCCCATTTTGGGGTAGGTGCACCACCCATTTTAGTCTATTTTAGTGGGGATTGTGATCACTGGGGGTACGGGGTTTTGACCCATGGCCACATGGCTGTGGGTCAAAAATGGGTACCCAAAATGGAGCCCTGGTAAAAGAACCCAGGACTGTAAAACCTGTGGTCCCCTGGTGGTTGAATTTTGACCCACCATTGTCCTTTTTTGTTTTCTGAGGATTCCGTTTAAAGTCTACCAATTATGGAAAACGTTTAAGGTAGTCTCGTAGTTTTATCAGACTCCTAATTCACCAACGTCCACACCTGCTTTACAATGTATTTTGCGACACCCCCATACTCTTATAAGGAGGAAGATCCGGACGAAGTCGTTCAATGCCGAGGTATGATTTGGGGGTTGATCAATTTTCCTGGCCCCCAAATGACCATTGGACAACTTTTCCCATTTAGTGGAACACGTCATCTTTTTTTGTGGTTTCCCCCATTGATCATCCTATTTGGAGGTTCCTTTGAGAGCTCTTAAAGGTTTGGGTTGGGATCCCTAGCAAAGTCCGGAGGGGTCGGACGGTGGTGTGGTTGTGGCTGTCGTGGTGGTGGTGGTCGTGGTGGTGGCTGTCGTGGGTGCTTTCGTGGTGGTTTTTGTGGTGACTCTACCCTTGATATCGTGGATTGTAGTGGGGGGATTGAATCCGTTTGCTGATAACATTTATGACTTCGAAAAGGAAGCCAACATGAAGTGTAACCTTTGCTTTGACTTTGACACCTGCAGTTTACTGCGGTGTAACCCGCGGAATTGCACCCAACGGGAATCAACCGCTTCCGTTGTGCTTTTGCAGACTTAAGTGGTTTGCGAAATCTAGGTACGTTATAACCTACTTGCAGCCTACTTAGAGACTATAGTGGTTTGCAAATAGGGACAATGTACAGTCCTGTACAAGGAGTTCGCGCGGACGTGACATGTGTGTGGGTTACCTCGGTGAATCTATACCCTTCCACATGCAAATGCACCCTTTCCAAGAGGGCAGTATTCCCTTCAAGGGACCTGTCGACAGGACGAAAGTGGACTCTTTTACACATTGAAACCCGGCAGAAGGCCTCTTGAAGAGGACAATGGTCTTCCAGGACCTGCCAGATTCCATGTTTGTAGGGTACCTCTCTTTTTGGACTTTCCTGGTGCACTTGTTACCTCTTCGGATCCTTGCAAGGACGTTTCCGGTCCTCCATGTTGGTCAGTCAGTCCGCGGCTCCCTAGCGGCCAAACCAGCGGCAGGCAGAGGATTCCCGGAGCCGAAAGAACCTCAAGGAGTTGGAGCCGCTTGGTTAAGATCCCCAGCGATCGATCTGCGGGCGAACCCGCGAAGTTTTCTCCAGGGGCACCGTCCCATTTTCTGAATTTTTAGGGACCCGAATCTTTCCAGACCTCCAGAAACGGGAAAACGATGATGGAAAATAGTGGAAAAGGAATCAAGCCCTGGAGCAGTGATTCCAGGCCAACGGCTTCTCAAAATACCTTGCCACCTGCTTTTTGGAACTTGGGGATTTCTTCGCAAAGTGTGTTCCAGCACCAACCACTGCTTTTTGGACACTTGGGATTTTGGGGATGGACAAAGGCAACTTGTTGGGATCCGGGTGCTGGTTTGGGTTTGTCCTTGTTTTGGTGGGGTTGGTTTAAAGGAAGCCAAACGGACAACCACGGTTTTGGGGTCTCGTATTTAAAGACACACCCATGTACCATGGAATCAGCTTCTGTAATTGGTTTGGGGCCCAGTTTGGAAGTGTGGAGGTTGGGTGGCTTCCCATTTACCTCCCCAAGGCAAGAGCCGTTAAGATCCCCAAACCAAATCCAAACCACCAATGAAGGGTCACCTGATGGACGGCCTAGCAATTCAAAGTGAAGATAGCGGGCACGTTCCAAACCCGGTGTAACATCGCTGTTTCGTATGGCCTGCGTGTGGAATGATCAAGACGGGGTGTGGCAACAACGATCACCAGGGACGAAAAAGTGCAGAAGGAACCAGCAAGTGGCGAGCTCGCCCGGACCGTACCTGCGACAAGTGGTTTGATCCAGAGGCGCCATAAGACGAGCTTCCATTTGTAAGGGTTTGTTCAAATACACTTGTTTGATGGCTTCAGGCTCCATTGAGGCCCAAAATGCTTGTTTCTTTGGTGGCTAAAGGTGTTGTTTGTTATTTATTGCAAACGTGTCATGTGTTAAAATATATTTTGGCGGCAGCTCCGGTCCTTTTTGCTAGGAGCTGACTGCAGATGGATGAAGCAGTTAGATTCTGTCTTTCCGTTACAAGTGAGGAAGCACATCGACGACGCGGTGAAAAGCGGCTACTTGGCTTCTGGATTTTCCGAAGATTGGGTTTTTTCACGTATGGGGCGGGGAGATGTCTTTTGGGAAGTGCGCAGATTCACTTGCAGACCCAGACAATCCATGTATGATATGGTTGCCAATACAATATGTTTGTCCTACATTTTCCAACGGCGTTAATGTTGGTCCCCGAGAGTTTCGGAGATGCATGACATCCGAATGCTTGGCAAGGTATGTGGAGCTCGTGGCGAGGGCTATATGAGCTTGTACAACATTGTATAAATTAGTTGGCCCAGGTAGAACACGTCACTTGCTTTTGGGCTCCGCTCAGGTGTTTGCTTTTGCGGAAGCGCTTGAGTTGGCGCTTCACGATTTGCCAGAAGTTTCTTTTGCACTCGGTTTTTGTTGGCAGCTTGTATGGCCAGATGTGTCCGACTTGTGTCCCAAAAGCTGAGCTTTGCCGGTTACCCTCCCAGCAAACATGACACCCAGGTCCCTGTAAAAACTAACTTCCTGCCAGTGACTCCCCTTGGCTTTCATGGGCTTTCCGTGAGGGTAAGATGCAGTCGGAGACGCGGCAGTACCTTGAAAACATGGTTGTTAGAAGAGTATTTCATTGGAAGACCCATCCCCCCACTCAAGAACAAGGGGCCCCACCATAGATGAGATTTCCCCTAAAAGGGAAAGATGTGTTCGTCCTTTATGTTCGGGATACGCTGGGCTCGTTCGGGTTCCATGTGGAGAAATGCAGGGGAGTGTCCTTGGCAGCTGGCCCAGGCAAGAGCTTCTTCCACATCAACCAGGTCTGGGCCAAGAAGGACAAGGCGCCTCAGTCCCGTTTTGTCCTTTGATCTCGCGTTTTTTTTGGGTTCCCTTCGAAACCAAAGCAGAATTCCAGTTTGACATCTTCTTTCCCTGGACAACCCGAAGTCTGGACGCCATTGGCCCAAGCCCCGCAGCTCGGACGATTTTCCGGGGCCCAGGGGCCCAGGCACCCAGGGGCCGGTTGCATCGATGTTCGGCAGACGGGTCTGGGGGTTCGTCTCAAAAGTTCGCCTCTTTTTGGTTGGCTTCACACAGGCGGAATCAAGGATCGCCTTGGTCGCCTTTTTTATATGAAGTACCGTCAAAATTACTTCTATTGAATTTAGTATTCGGCGTTTCATTGATGTTGTTGAAATGCACAAAACCATGGAAAACGATAGGGGACTCTCAAAAAAACGAGACCCTGGAGGCAGTTATGTTTACACTTGCGTTATTTTTTGGTTGTAAACATGTCTTTACAAAGGATCTGCTGAGATAGGGGGGCCCAATATTTCAGTCGCTGTCGCTTTTGTCGCGGGCAAGCCGGGTGGAGTGACTCCCGCCTCTCTCCGCAAGCGTTTGCAGCCTTTTTCTTCCTGGGTTGTTCAAATTCAGAATGTCCAATGGCAGCGGTTGCCCATCTGAACTTGACCCCTAACATTACTTTGGAGGCTATAGAAGACCCGCAGACGGAATACAGGCGAGGCTATTGGAGTGAGGGAAGAAAGCAGTGGGACACCAAGATCGGACCTCTTCGCCTCCACGAGGAGAATGCCTTGACAAAGCGGCAGCAAAAGCAGCAGCGCCTGCTGTCAGCGGGAGTCAATTTGAAGTACACAGGGAAAGTGGAAGCATTTACTTTCGAGGCTCTTGTCGAGCAACGCAAGAAGCGAATTGCCAAGAGAAAGCTGCGAACAGGGCAGCGTGGAGGCGCAGTAGCTGCTGATGCTGCCAGCTCAAGCTCCGAAGAGAGCATGAGTTCCAGTAGCAGTTCTGATAGCAGCAGCAGCAGCAACGACAGTCGCCCTGCGAGGTAAATAGAGCGCGCTTGCCTTGTCGATGGGAGGAGTGGTTGTGGGTGAGTGCTGGGGCGAGCCTGCGGGGAAGCGCAGTGTTGAATAGCTTCTGTGTGACGGGCCTGACTAGATAGATTGACACACCGCCTTGCACCCAAAGAGGTCTCCCTTCCTCCCTTCCCTTTCCTTTCCTGTCCTTCCCTGTCCTTCCCTTTCCTTTCCTTCCCTTTCCTTCCTCTCCTTTCCTCTCCTTTCCTTGCCGGTGATACTTGCACGTCAGAAAACACAAAACGCTGGAAAACGATAGGGGACTCTCAAACTAAGTAGCGAGACTCCTGCGTGTAAGTAATTTCGACCGTGCCTCATATGTGTTTTTTCTTTTCGGGGAGGGGCTAACTGGGGGGTCACTGAGAAACCACGGCCTCCGGGGCTTTCCCCTTCAGCGCCAAAGGCGCTTCGAGGTCAGCTAGCCAAAAAAAGAACATGCCACTTTCACGTTAGTTTGGACGGTCATATCTAGCCGCCTCCGAAAGGGGGTTTAGCAACCTCAGAGATGAAAGGTTCTTTCTTGTCGGTGGATTTATCATATTTACATGTGGTGGGCATGGTGGTATTTCAACTGGGCGGTGGTGTTTCCCATTGCTTCCGGGCAAACCGCTGTGGCAGGTGACTAGGGTGCATTCACCTGTTGGAAAAGGAACGGGGAGGGGCATGGCTCCCTCTTGCCGAGGACACGTTCAAAAAGGGCGTGAACCAGTACACGGGGAATGCGCGAGAGACCTACTGCCGATTGACCGGCCTGACAGTACAGTGGGCCCCGGCCTGAGTCTTTAGAGGGAAACAGGGAAAAACACTCCTGGTGGGTTTTAAAATCCATGAACACACCTTAAGAATCCTGATGGGGTGATGCTCAAACGCGCCTTTTCAGGAAAATATCTTTGGAAAACAAATGGAACCCGTGATGGATACACCGCTTGATTGTTGGGGCGGGGTGTGTGATCTTAGATGGGATTTTCTTAGGTCCACATTAGACTCGTGGGTGGTCAGGAGAAATACCCTCCCACCATTTAACATGGGAACCTGACATGAATTGGTTGGAGGGTTTCTTCGTGGATGAATGTCCAAGTACTTTGGAAGGCAAGTCTTGGGTGATAGCCTAGGTTGCAACCTAGGGGGACAGTTGATGAAGCAGCCCCCTGTCCAGCTTGAAAAGAACGGAGCCATGGCCGGGAAGTTCATGGCCCTCGATGGTCCTCAAGTCATGGCGTCTGCTATTCACTAGCATAGGTGTCCTCTTTGGTTGATTTGGTAGAAAAATAGATGGGCTTCCCTGGTTTACCTGGTGGTTTAATCATCTACCAGGGAAACCCATCTATTTCCCCTAGAAGGACACCTATGTTCACTAGTCGTTCATGTTCGCTATTAGGTTGAAGTGGCCCCCTACGGCTTGCCATCATGACAATTATGGGTGTGTGTCTTTTTTTTGTGGTTTTCCCGGAACACTCCCCAAAAACGGGAACGTACTCGCACCCTCAAAAAAGACAGGCCCACATCAAACTTGTTCAGTTGGCCCAGGCTCTTTGTTGGAGTTATCAGACTCCTTTCTTGGTGGCCCCTTATTTGGATATTTGACTGAAATGGGTTTCTCTGTTCTTGGGGGTAGCCTTTGTTATCCAATAGGAAAAGCATCATTTGTTTTGTGTTCGGTCCCTTAAAAGCCCGAGGCATACGCAAGTGCGGCCTGAGAAAGAAAAGGTTAGCGACTGGATAAGTTTCCCAGGTGCACAGCGCAGACTCACGGCAGCTGAATGTGGCCTTGCACAACCTGGGCCTCGGCAAGCAGGCGATGCATCTCTCGCCTCTCACTCCCAAGGGGTCGCTGTGCCGTTGCGGCTCCCACTTGGCCAGTTCAGCATAGTTCGTAGTTCGTCCCTTCCAGTGGATGTTTTATTATTATGAGCAAAATTTGGGGTTTATTCCAGGGCTTCTTAGGTGGTGCAGGATTTCGTCCGCCCACAGTATGTTTCGATTCCGGGCAGACTGAACATGGAACAGAAACAGAAGATCATAATTTTGGGGAGTGCCCCAGTCCAAACAAAAGCAGGGTTTGGCCAGCACGGGATGGGAAAGGGGCACTGAAGCCTTGATCACTTGCAGTGGGAAGCGACAAAAAAGCCTCCGGCAGATTCAAACCGGATCAGGGTGAAGATGCAATCGGTTGCTTCCTGCAAACAGAAGATCGTGGGGAGGGAGCGAAGCAAGCCGCATACCCTAGAGAAGAGGGCCTGCCAGTTCCCACTGAAGTGGGCTACCGTAGCTTTGTTTAACCTCTTGGAATATGGTGTCTTTCAGTCGATGCGCTTTGTACTTGGTTCAGTTGAACGAAAGCCTGATGTTTCTGAGCTTTCCCTCACCAAATGCTCAAGCCTGTTTCTGAGCTTTCCCTCACCAAATGTTTGGGATCTTGAGAGCAACATCATAGGTATCTCCGCAGAAATGGGTATGGGTCAAAATTAACCCACCAGATAACCGCAGGTTTTAGTCTTTGGCTCCATTTACCAGGGCAACCCATTTTGGGGTTACCAACTATTTTTCACCACAGCCAAACAAAAACCCGCCACCGCTCCAGTTTTTGGTTCGCTCGTTGCGGAGAACTTGGGCATGGGCTTCCGCCAGGTGGATCGACCGGAGGACGAGATTCGGCAGAGGCGCGAGATTCGGCAGCTCAGCCGTGGCATCGAAAACGAAAAACACCAAGCTGCCAAACCAAAAGGGCACATGAGCCACAACCAAAACCTGGGTAGAAGGTTAGTAAGGGGCCGTCCCAGCCAGAAATAGTGTCGGCCGCCTTCTTAACTCCTGAAGCATGGTTCTGGGTAGACCATTTTCATACCAGGTTTTGATTATGACTCACATGTTTGCAGGAAAGTATGAGAGGAGCTTCAGGATTTGTGTCAACGCCGCTAGGTGGGGAATGGGTACCCACTAATCTACCCCGTATCAATTGTTCAGGAGGTGGTTCATGTGGCAATGACTGTTCATAACAAATGGTTGGTGCTGGCATAAATGTTCTTGTGTTTGATGTCCACCGAAGTCTTCCCAATGCTGGAATAACTTCTAGCACATAGTGATGGGAGAAGTGATCAAAAGCCAAACAGCCGACGTTTCATGGGCAGACCAAGGCGCCCACACTCCAGCAGTGGCTTGCCGCTCTGAACTCAAACTGCCAGATCATGTCCTCCTGAACGATTGGCTTGCTGGTGCTGAGCGGAGCATGTGGGAATGAACCCAGAGGTCCCCTTAAGAGGAACCCACCTGGGATAGTTTTTCAGGGTCATTCTCTGCTGCAAGCGGCGTTGGTTCCAGATCGCCCCCTGGAAATCAGGAGTACAAGGGCCCAGCTCATTCCCTTCACTCGCGACTAAACTTGAGCACCCACAAGCGCCATTGACCATTTGTTGTAGGTGGCTTCTACCTTGTTTTGGGGGGATTCTGGGGGCTGTTTTAACCCATATATGTATAAGCATCTTGGTAGACCCAAAGTCAGCTCATGTCTTCCCCCCCCCTCTCGGCTCAATTGGCTTCGAAGAACCCAGCCCCATTCAACATATTTATGCCCCAAAAAGGTACTCACCTGCCAAAGCCGGCCCTTTAATCCTTTTGGTTTCCCCTTTATGGTTCAAACGGGATAGCCCTTTATTTCTGGGTCCCCAAAAGGCAACTAATGGTACCCTCCCGATGTACGGGAAAGTTGATTTTCCAGGTTCCCATGGGAAGGCTGCCTGCGAGCATGGGCCTTCTGAAAGACTTAACTAGGTCCCCCAGTAGTGCCCTTTCTCACCCTTATTTGGGGGAGGGTTCCCCTGCTAAAATAGACTACAGAAAAAAGGGTACCCTTATTCTAACCTCTCTACTGGACCAAGTAAGTGCTTAGGAAGCCGTCCACCAGCCTTGCAAATCATTTCATCCAACCACTAGCGATGGAGCCAGCTTGAAAGCAGGCAACCGAAATGGACCGAGGGTGTTGATTTGAGGCTTGGCCAAGGCGAGCAAATCCCCAGCTCTGACCCTGACAGGGATCTGGTTGTTACGCATGATTTGCATTTGGAGGTTCACTGGACATGGACCAGCATGAAATCTATGTTTTTTTAGGGGGCAACAGCTGAGGTGGCCAATGCCCTTCACACCTTTCCCTTGAACGATCTTTGATTTTCCCTTGTTGATTTTAAAGGGAATCTATCACTAATGGAAATATTGTATTCTTCCAGGGGGCTTAAGCAGATGGCAGAGTTGTTCAAAAGCAATCCGCAAGATCCTTATGATACGTGGACGGTGGTTGTCCTTGCAAAGATGTCCCAACTACGAATTAGCGTCACAAAGCATTCAACAAAAGGCACCTTCTGTGAACACTTCACGTGGGCAGGCTGCTCATGTTTCTTCGGTACGGATGATGCCCCTGAGCTGCAAGGAAGCGTTTGATGGCTGTGTTTCCCGTGCAACTTGGGCGGTGTTTCTGGGTGCTATTTTCTTTCCGGCATGCTTATGGAAGCTGACAAAAGGGTTTTGGAAGATACCCCCCTTCCATTTCCCATTCATGGAAAGAGGGTAACTAGGTCATGTTCATGTCCTGCAAAGGAAACCACGTTGTGGTCATGCTGTTTTCCAGGGCGCCTATTCGGCAGCCGAGCTTGCAACAATCACGGAAGTGGATGGGACCTACCGCTCGCTGATGAGCGTGTTCAGAAGCGTCTTTTTGCAAGAGGGAACTTGCGGCCTGCCCCGTGCACCTGACAACATCATGGGTAAAGCGTGGTCAAGGGGCTTGTCTCGTTGAAGGGTTGAACATCATGACTCATGTCAAATTCATCCCCGAATCGTTCCCAGTTCCTCAGGTGGCCTCTGCAAATCCCTTTGTTCGGTGGGTTCCCCACGAACAAAAGCTGCCAACCAATCAAAGAGGCATGGTCCCCGTGTTGCTTTTGTTGCAACTCGGGGTTGTCCAGGAGATGGATGTATGAGGGATGGCGGCTTTCTTTTAGACTCCTTTCGGACAAAGGGCGATGCTCATGCTCCTTCTTGATTTTAAAGTCTGACGGGCTTCATTGGGGGCAAACCGCGGTTGCGGCTACTGCCAGATATCACACTTTTGTTTGGCGCGAATAGCTCAATAGCCCATAATTCCGAGTTTCCCCCGAACAACAAGCAAACGGGAAGGGTGTGTTTTAAACTGTCCAGGCCATATGCCATGGAGAATCATTTCCCAAATGTGTAGTGATGCCAGATTATATTTGCCATGCAAAGCGCTTGGATATTCTTTTACAACGGGGAAGGTGCGACTGGTTGGGATATCAAAACGGACTCGCTCAGAGCTCAGGCGTGGACATCTCTAAGAGACGGCCCAGAAGCTGTGGTCAACTCTGAGGTCCTACGCCAAATGGACCCGAACATCACCCGCCCTTCGTTTTGGGAAGGGCCTCAGATCAGACCGCGTTGAACAAAGTGTTTTAGCTTCAGGGGAGCCTGGCTTGCAAATAGTGCTTCCAGTTGCAATCCACATGAGCAGATAGGCACAATTGAAAGGTTTATGTGTGATGGAGAGGACTGTCCTCTGCGTACATTTGGATATTAACTACTCTAGTGGTGCAGGACGGATTTCCCGTCGTGGCTACATGCCATAAGGGGCGCAAACATGAAGGCTTCCTTCAGCTTCAGCGCGTTTTGCCAGTGCCGAAAACGAGACTTTCCTTTGGTTGAGCGAGAGAACCACATGATGGCGAGCACCATTTGCAAGTCAAATCAAATTAGACCTGCTGGAAGTCAGCTGGGGGTGAAAAGGTCCGAGGGAGCTTGGGGACCTGATTCCGATCGAGTTGAAAGTGGCCTGGAAGGATTTGTTTTTACGCCTCAGAGGCGCAACCAGGCTGGGTTTCTTAGGGCCGTGCAAGCAGTGACCTGCTGGCAGGTGCTGTTGTGTATTTTTTCTTCTGAGGGAAGACCCTGTTTTGCACAATTGTATAGCGGGGTGGCTTTGTTGGTGAAAGAGGGCTTGGTTTGGGGTGACGAGGAATATCTTGACTCTTGCCATCACAAGTGTACAACAATTGCCCGACAAATTGCTACTGAGATCGGCATTTCAAGCGTAAAGCCCACTTTCGACATAAAACACGAAGCCCGGACCAAACCGGATCACCCCCACATCCAAAACCGATCCGAAACAACTCTGAGCTCAAGCCAAACTCAACCAGTGGGTGCGAAGCCCTTGTCGACTTTGCTCACAATCCGGCTATCAAGACTTACCCTCTGTATCCCCGAATCACACCTCAGCTCCATGAGCAACCGACCAATCCTATACCCAGCAAGACCCACAATCCCGCCTCAACCCCAATCCCACTTGCGCCAACACCATGGAAATTTAAGGCAGCCACGGTGCACCCAGAAGCTATGAACACCATGGCACCCTGGGTGCTTCTGCCTGGTGAGTGGGTTTTCGTCAGCAGCAGCGAAAGCGCAGGCCATCCCACACATATATCGCTTTTGGGAGGCTCGGCATAATGTACATATACATACATACATACATACATACATACATACATACATACATACATACATACATACATACATACATACATACATACATACATACATACATACATACATACATACATACATACATACATACATACATGTATATATATATATTACGATCATGTTTGGGAAGGATATTACTGGGAAACTGGGAAGATTCCGTTGGGACCATTTCCGCTTTGGGCACTTTGCCAATTGAGGTCTGCCAATCCATGCCTGCTGAAAAGCCCTTCTTTGTTTCTTTTTTATTTTTTTTGCGCAAAACATAAATCCCACCCTCCCGTAAACAGCGGATTCCCTGTTGCAAAACTAGCTATCCACATCCAGCCAACCCAGCTAAATTATGGCACAGAGCATTGGTTGTCCCATGTTCCCCTGGTATGTCGGGCATCCGCCGTTTACGGCCGTGTATATTATAGTCAGATGCCACACAGAGGAGTTTGGACATGGCATCAAATCGCAGTCTTTTCGCTTCAAACCGCGAGCTGGGTGGCCTCGCAAGGACTGAAAAGCTCGTTTTCATTCCATCAGAGCATCAGTCGATTTTCTCCATTCGCTGCCATGGCCGCGATTTCACAATGCCTGTGCTTGCTGGCACTGACAATCCCCGCTTCCGGGAGCACTATTAAGGTTACTTCGTTGGAATGGCGGGACTGAGGGGTTGGGAAGTCGGGGAAACGTCAAGACTCCTCGCGAAACATCCAGCGATCCCAGGTTGTTTCTTCTTTGGCCCCCAAAGAATTCTGGTGGGCAGGGGTCAGGTTGTGGGGGGACCAGCGGCCGGATCTGACCCGAAATCGTAGCAAACTTGGTCGTTGTTTTGTATGGCACGGTCCACTTTTTGGGGGTTGAAACGGACTGCCAGAACATTTCAATCATCAATTTCCTGTTTTGAGATCAGCCCACATTGCTTTCGTTGCAAAGTAATGGAAGGCCAAAGAAAGGGTCTTCTCCACTTAGAGAATCTGACGCTCTGTTCCTAACAACGGATCGTCTTTTGTTTGCTCCATGGTTCCCGCTTGGGGAAGCATGCGCACGTCAGGTTTGGGGAAGGCTTAAGCAACCGGACCTTATCCATTTAGAAAGGAAGCCTGCTTTACCCAGTTGCCCAGTGGTGCCCTTTTTCCTTTTTTTTGGAAGGGTTCCCCTTTAGACTCGACCAACCAAAAAAGTATGCCCCTTTTTTTCCATGGCCACTGGGCATTTGAGTTTATGGTCAGTTTCCCCGTGATTACTAGTAGTCAAGGCAGTCAACCAGTTTGGTATCGCAGAAAAAGGAACCGGCGTAGCCACGGGTGAAATCGATTCTCCGTTGAGGTTATGATGATCCACAACTCGGCCCAGAGCAACGCTGGCTGGAAGGACACCGGCGGGGAGGTTGGCCTGATGGGTCTATTTTAAGGATCAGCCCTTAGTAAGTCCTAGTAACGCGGTTGAATACGGGACAGCTCTCCCAGCCCTTCAAGGTCCACGACCTTTTCCGAATTTAGCCAAGACCTCCGGTGCCGTGTAACCTTTGCATTTTTCCAAGGGAGATTAGGACTTTAACTTTTTGCCAACTAATGGGTTTTCCCATTAACCCACTAAAAGTTAAACTTTTAGCAGGGGAGCAGAACGCAACCGAGTAACTCTTTGTTTGGGGCTCGGTTCATTTTAAGAAGGTTGTTTTGCAGAACGTGCCTTTGTTAAGGGCGTGTTCGGACTGGGGCCAACGCAATATCCGATTTCGATGATTTCCCGGACCCCCCGTGTTTTTTGTTGCTTTCTTGGAAGGGGGTTCCGTTTAAAGCCAATCAGAAGAAAAAGGTGCCCTTTTTCTCCAAGGGCCGCTGTGCTTTATTTCCCTGCCGGTGGCGTACTTTTCTCAACTTCAGCTTGTTTAGGCGGTTTGCCTGCAACTCTTCTCTGGCTGGCAAGGCTATGCGTGTGTAAACACGCAGTGTAGATTTGTTGGTCGATCCACTCCCGAAATGAGCAATTCCTTTCCAAGCAAAGGAAAGTTCGATAGCTGCTTCACCATCATGTAGCCATGAGTACCTATGATGGAAGCTGGAAGAACTTTTTGTTTTTGTCTGGGGTTGGGTGTCCCTATGGATAGTTTGCAAACGTGCCTATAACAGTCAACTTGGGGTTGATTGGGGGTCACAGTGGCTTACCAGTTTGACTTCTGACAAGGTCCAAGCAATTGAAACGCATGATTACAGGGATGATCTTGGTTTCTGAGGGTTTCTCACTATGTGAGTTTCGGTCAACATGACTGGTAGTCTATGCTTCCTGGGACGAGCGCTCAATGTTCCACAAAACACTGAGGGGGCGCTCACTAAATTTCCCGGTCCTCTGAAACAAGCAATTTTGATTGCCTCCAAGGCACCAACCTCACACCACAAATAGTCAACTGAGAGTTGACCATCGCGACCTGCTAGCTTTGCTACGGTTCTTGTCATGGTTGTGGAAAATACCCCCTTGCGTGATACCAAAGTGGGCAATCTCCATCACTTATTTGTCACGTTAAATGGGGGTTACTTTAGCTCGACACGGCATAGAATTCAGCGCAGATGTTTTTTCGACTGCGGAAAATGCATTGCAGCCCTCAAGAAGCCCAGAGTGTGGTAGTGCCCTTGGTAGCAGAAGCTGTCCTGGTCCGGTCCTGCAGTCCTGGTACTGTGCACGAATGTTGTTTGTTTCACCTGGGGGAAACGCATTCGGCCACTTCTCGGGCCTCAAGGAAGCCCCAGATGGTCGGTGGGGGAGGGGTGCCCTCCTGGAATGTCAATCTTCATTTCATTTTTCAGGTACGGGGGGGAGGGGGAGTGGGACCTTGAAGGCTGTGAAATAATATGTTGTAACTAGCCAATGTCGGCGGCAACTGCATCCATGGTTGGGACGAAAAGCCAGCCATTTTCGAGTGAGAGGTCCGTCGAAAGACGTGTGTCCGCGTATTTTGTCATAGACCCACGTGTGTGACGTCTCCTCATGTAGGATCCATGTGAAGCATGGCACGCTTTTAGAGAGAAAGAGAGAGAGAGAGAGAGAGAGAACGACTGGGCTACAAGTCGTTTACATCTCTTGAAACCACTGATCCGCACGGTGATGTGTCAGGATGTGTCAGGCTCCGGTATTCTGATTTTCCCTCTGGTGACTTACGCGTTGTTGCTGCGGCAGCGTCTGCGTTTTCACATGTGAACGCAAAAAACAAGCAAACCCAATAGCACGGGAAGGTAGCAGCATGGCCAAAGCAGCAGCATGCCCCCGCCGTGGCAGCAAGATGCAGCAAGGACATGACGTCAAGCCTTGAATATTTTTCAGCGCTTGTTGCTTCCTACCGATGGGTGGCAAACTGGAGATGAGTCTTGCGCAGCCGCCGCGCTGAGTACACTTGCGGCACGCGGCCAGCGTTGCTGAAGAGGCTCATCTCTTGCAGGCACGAGGTCGTCATGCTTTTGAAGCCGGGCACGGACGAGCAGAAAGAAAAAGAAGCAGCTCCTGCAAACAGTGTAGAAAGTGGAGACGGGCTACCGCACCTGGCAGCGCCCGCGCTTTACTTGGCGCGCTTTGAGATTCAGAGAATGCCGGGGCCAGGTGCCACCTCGGAGATTTCAGGAACTGTCAGTCTTTTCGCCCTGCCCAGCTGCCTTTCCATTTGGTGCCATCATGACCTCAGGCGTTGGCCATGACTGGGCGGTCTTTACGGCTGGCGCGTCATGACATCGCTGGCGATGTCAGCATGCGCTGCATTCGTTCGTTCAGACCTGGACAGAGCCTGTGACGTCTGCCCCCTCGGCCGTGCTTCTGGCTGGAAACGAAGGCCTCGACGCGAATGCGTGTGGAACAACCTAAAGAACCCGAAGCCGTTGAAAAAGAGGGGCGGGGAAGGACCGACCATGCGGTTAGAGAAAGAAGCTTCTGCACAACCCATGCTCTACAGGGGTTGCACCATGCCATGCCCGCGCGGACCCGTCTTTCGCTGGTTTTGCCCGCGCCAACCTATGGTGTCTTCACGTGTTGCACGGGTATCCCACAACAATTCCGTTCACGCAACGGCTCCATTGCAAGGTCTCCAAGCGCATGAGAGCCGTCCTTTGGCGAGAGCGTCAAGGCAGAGTTTGGGTTTGACGGACAGAACTGCAGCCTTCACGATGACTTTGGCCTATCCAAGGAATCCAGCAAGAACATTCAGACATGTCTGAAAACCTTGCCCGATGTGTACACCTGACGAGGAGTAGAGATGCTGGACAAGCGCAACGAGCTCACTAATTATTTGCTGCCGCATTGCAAAGCAAAAAAGGCAAGTCAGTTGGGAGGAGCGCGTGGCACGGGCGCCTTCCTACCTCGACGTTGCTCTGAAGGGCAGCCGAGCCGAGTTTGTGGCTTCTGTTCTACGCAAGCTAAACTCGCTGATGCAAGGTGACGGCGCGGACAACGCCAAGAAGGCCAAACAGAATCAAGCAACGGAGAGCAGCGCGTAGATCTGACTAGATGCGCTGAGAAGCAAGCGGAAGCAGAGTCAAGCACTTAAAAGTGCTTTCAGGCCGATGAGAGCGAGTTGCGGGATGTGCAAAGCATGGTGGGTCATGCCGCATGCCGAGCCATGCGGGGGGGCCATGCAGATAGACGCCTGGGGCTCCTCAAGCACTAAAGGCGTAGCGAGGGTACAACTGGAAGCTTTGAGGTCAACTTCGCAAGCGTCGCCTCTCAGATGTGCCCGCGTGCCGGGTTGAGCTGACCAACCTGTGAGTTTCGCCACTGAGCAGAGGTTGCCACATCCTTCGCCTTTGGCAGAGCAAGCAAAACAGAGTGCCGTAAAATTCCAGCCCAGCAAGAACAACACGCTGCCACAATCTGCCGCAAGCGAAAGTGAACATTTGGGGGGTACCCTCAAGCGACAATTTGAGGGGACCTCTGAGAATGTCATTCACGGACAATGCTGCTGTAGACAATGATCGACGCCACCCCGCAGACAAACGCGCACGCAAACGCAAACACTGGCACACACAGACACGCACAAACACAGAACCACAGACACACCAACACAGAGACACAGAGATACGCAGACACAGAGACACAGACACACAGAGACGCAGACGCACAGACACAGAGACACAGAGACACACACACACACAGCGGCACGGCGGCACGGGCGCACACAGACACGGAGACACAGACACACCGACACAAAGACACGCACAGACAAACACACACACAGACACTCGCACACGCACACACGGACACACGGACACACACACAGACACACACAGACACAGACACAGACACAGACACAGACACAGACACAGACACAGACACAGACACAGACACACAGACACACAGACACACAGACACACAGACACACAGACACACAGACACACAGACACACACACAGACACACACACACAGACACACACACAGACACACACACAGACACACACACAGACACACACACAGACACACACACACAGACACACACACAGACACACACACAGACACACACACAGACACACACACAGACACACACACACACACACACACACACACACACACACACACACACACACACACACACACACACACACACACACACCACACACACACACACACACACACACACACACACACACACACACACACACACACACACACACACACACACACACACACACACACACACACACACACACACACACACACACACACACACACACACACACACACACACACACGCACACGCACGCACGCACGCACGCACGCACGCACGCACGCACGCACGCACGCACGCACGCACGCACGCACGCACGCACGCACGCACGCACGCACGCACGCACGCACGCACGCACGCACGCACGCACGCACGCACGCACGCACGCACGCACCCACCCACCCACACACACACACACACACACACACACACACACAACACACACAAACACACACAAACACACACAAACACACACAACACACACACACCACACACACACAGACTTGCCCTTTTGCATTTTCGAGCAATGACATTTTCCTGTCAACATCACCCAAAACGACAAATATGTCTCATTAATACTGAGGTCCTGGGATAATTGATGGGTTTTGCCACAAAAGAGTATGACATTTCACGGTAGACTTAATGTGTACCCCAGATTCTCATTTGAATTGGTGGTTTAGGTTGGTGGTTTGAGGATTTGAGGCTGCGCTTCGGTACATGGGCCAACCTTCCCTGAACCACGAGGGACGCTGATCACATTTGGGTCAAGGGTTCTGCTCGAATCCGTCGACTTCTTCGCAGGAAGGCTTCTACGACTTCTTCGCCCCCTTCCTGAACGGCCTCGGGGGCTTTACTATGTCGCTCGCAGAAAGAAACAGCTGGCAGCGCTGAAAATAGAACATTAGAACTTCCACGTCCTATTAATAGGGCGTGTTCCCCTCCAAAAGTGATGACCCCCCACTAAACACCCCCTCACTAATTTACTTGACCAAGTGGTTATTAATCTGGGGTTCCGACTGCCAGGCTTCACTCGCTTCTGCCCTTTTTGGAACTCCCTTGTGTTCCGAAGCAACATAATTTTAGCGGAGGTGGATCCATTTGGCCAATAGCATTAGTAGGTAGGTATCCAAGGAAACACATGTAACACCCCATGGCTACCCCAGTTTTCTGGTCATCAAGTTTTGACTTCGAACGCCAGCTGCGGAAGTGCAATCACGCTGGCCACGCCTCCACAGTGTGCGCCGCGCAGCAAGCATAAAGCATGCCGCTGATGGCCTGCTGTGTGTTTACCCACCGGCCACGCGGCTTCGGCGGGACCCCGCTCCAACGCATACATTTGGGCCGGTTGCTTGCGGGGATGCTGTCCCCACTGGCCACGATGCGACTTTAGACAAGCCGATGCGAAGTAGGCTGAAAATACCTGTTTGCCTGCCTCCTGTACTGGCATTTGGAAGCCTTGTTTTTGTGTTCAGACTTGTATCCCGCCATCTGGAGTTTCGAATCTTCTTGGAAGTCCATTCGCATGAACTGCAAATGACAAGTCACTGGGAAAGCACAGCGGTTGGACCTTTGACTTCCGTCTTGTAAGTTTGGAGAGTTAGTGAAGATGCGGCTCGGAGCAACCCCGAGTAGGCGTTTCTTGGCGTCTAACAAGGACAGGAGTCCGTGAATCAGGCCGACCGAGCTTTAGATTTTTCACAGTCGTTTTTGGTTTCCCTCCAAGGGCCAATTTTCCACCCGACTATCGAGGGTTTGGAGCAACAATGATGGTAGATATTGCCGACTTGAAACTTGACGAAGATCCAAAATACTACTTTCCCCGCATATGTTTTAGTTGTTTTTTGTTTGGGGGGTTGGGGTATGATCCAATTCAAGGGGCATCCTGTGATTAATCCCAATGAGCAATTCATGGAAGTTGGGTGCCCCAAATGAAGAGGCCATGTAGGCATAGCGAAGTAGTCGGCATCTCACAGATAAGGTTACAAGTTCCTTTTACATACATTCATATGGCCATGGGTTGCATAACCTATGGCGAGCCATTTTGCGGTGGATGAACATCCATTTGCCGCCTATTTTATGTTAATCAGGGGTTTCCAGGGCTTTGACCCACAGCCATATAATTATTGTCCACAGCTGTACGTAGGCAAGGGAGGCCTCCACGCTTTGCCCCCCGTGTGCGGATTCCAAAGTAGACATTCACGCAACGGGTGTTTGAGCTGGACACTCATTTGGCTTGAGTGCTTGACCCCACGTTGGCATGATGACTTTTTAACCCTTGGTATCTTTGCAAACCACTTTGTTCTTTACAGTCAAAATAACGAGAACCAGAAAGCAAGCATATTCTTAAAGCAAGCGGACGTGCCGAGAAGAGTGAGGATGACGCAGTTATAGTTTTTTGCCAACCGCACACAGGTCCGCAGACGGTCAAGCATACACGCTGGACACCGTCCTGTGCGAGGAGGACTTGACTACAAACGCGGTCACCAAGATTCAAGCCTGCGCACCTTGAAAAAGAATTCCGTTACGTGTGTCACTTGCCAGGCTGACCTTTCGGAAGCCGCGACAATTTGAAACATGGAACACGCACTGTAGACTTTCTTGCGCCAATCCGAGAGTGTTGCTTTACTTCTCTACGCTTTTTCCAACACACATAGAAGCTGATAGGAGGTTTTGGGAAGAGCGACAATCTCTTGAAAAGGCCCCTTTACACTTCCATGATTGTTGATTGGTTTTGTCGTGTTGTTTTTTTTTTGGGGGGGGGGGGACACGTGAGTGTTATGGATTAGATGGATTCAGACAACCTTGGTAATGTCCTGCTTGGCTGCAGGTATGTGGGCAGGTATTGGGAAGCGGAACCATCTCCGGTTTTGGTTCCACTTCTTGTCTTGCAGGAACTTCTCAGTTGTCCAAAGCGAATCGACCTTTTGACCTTTGGGTTTTCCCATTTTGGCCCATTTTTAGTCATGGCCCCAAAAGGTTAACCTTTAGTCCTGGGTCCAATTTGGGCAACTGAGACTTCCCTGGGAGTCTTGGGCTGGAACGCTTCGCCTGGCTGGGGGGTTAAACTTCCAGGTCTGGGCGGTAAAAAGCATCGGCTTTTACCCTTGGAAGCGGATGGGGATGCTTACCTCTTAAAAACACAAAACTTTTCTCAACTTTTTGGGTAACATGGGCTATATGTCTGTAAAAGATGAGAACTTCCCCAGAGCTTGGAGTTTTAAGGGGTAAGGCTGGGGATTCGATGGCAGGGGCAGTCCTGCTCCGTTTCTTTCAACAAAAGACAGACGAAGGGAAGCGTCGGGCGTCGGGCCACCCTCAACGAAAGACACATACGCACCGAGACTGTACTTTGGAACATCACCAACCACCCAAATAAATGCAGCTCACTTCAATCTTTGGAAGCAAGCCCAACGGAAACCATCAGCCATGTCTGATTTTCCCTTGGTTCGACCAGCTACACTTGGCCCAACCCGGGGTTTGCCAAGCAGTATGTTCTTAACATATCAAGCTAATCGGAGGAGACCACAGAGCCTGGGCACCTTTGTGCAACTTTTGATGAAGCCCCTGGAAAAAAAAAGGTATAAACTTGGTGGCCGGACCAATATCATGCACCCAGCCAAACACACAAGTAAACACACACACACACCACAGTGCCACACAGACAACAAACACAAGCTTGAACGCTACAATTGGCTTTGGACAGGCCCGCAAGCATCTGCAGGGGAAGCGGCCAAGTTACTTTCTGGAGAACACAACTAGAAAGCAACAATATAAGAGAAGCAACCATTAGAATTGCACACGATTCTAAGGAAGGAAGAGGCATCAAGGCACTTCCAGAGTGGATTGGCCACACAAAAGTCCGGATTTTTTCGAGGTTTGCCACTATGACCTTCCAAGCATCCAGTCCAGGAACTCAAAGAGTACGCATAGCTGACTCCAGGGCAACGGGTTCAGCCTCTGAGCCAGATGTAAAGTGGTTTGATGGTCATTCTTTTGAGGTCAGGTTTGGGGGTTTGGTTTGGGCAGGGAATACACTGAGGTTGGGATGGGCCCCCAGATTTGAGAGGCGCACCAATTGGGTTTGGCTTGAGGGTAATTACCCTTTTTTTGGGGTGGTTCTCAAAGGTTAACCAAAATGACGCCACGTTTTCTTGATGGGGGTCCAATTCTCCAAAAACGTTGGTGGAAACCAAAAGGAAACCGGCCCCAAGTTGTTGGACAGGTGAACAGCGCGCAGAGTCAAAGCGTGGACGCGATTATCGTGGGCACCTCCAGCTCCAATGATGACGTCAAGGCGCGAGAGAGCCGGCTGAAGCGGCACCCGTTAAAACGGGAGCCATTTCTACTTGGCAAAAAAGTGAAAACTAGCACCTTGGTAAATGGAACCAAAGGCTGAGATCCCTGCGGTTTGCCCTAGCGAACCTTAATTTTGAGCCACAGCCCGTTAAGACTTGACCATGTATGTGTGGTACCCAGCACAGAAAGGTCTCAAAAACAAAGCTGACTAGCAAGGTGAGCAGGAGCCAGCTTGGAGATAGCTCTATTAGACAAATCCAGGAGACCAGGCACGGTTCACCTGGGAAAATTGAGCTCATTTCGGAGGCTGCTGACTGGCATGGTCCTTCATTCATCTGAGAGCCCAAAAACCCCGCGTTGCCCGCAGAAACCCACGCGGCTCGTTATGTGTACCGGGAATGCTGAAGTTGGGAGGTTTGGGTTGGTTTCGGCGTAGCCATGGTTTGGGATTCAGGGCAATTCCTAATATATATTTTGTTGGGTCTCAGCAAGGGCTGGAATCCCTTTAAAGGAAGCCACCAGTCGGGTTTTGTTCCCTCAGGCCGCCGCGGAGCCTCTGGGCATCCCAAATCTTCACTGCTCAGGCGGGTGCTATCTGTGCGTTTTGGGTCCTGCGTCTTTTCGTTTTGGGACCCGCGGGATTTTGGGCAGGAGATCTGCTATGGGCTTCTTTTGTTTTGGTGTTGTGTGTTTGTGTGTTTGTGTGTTGTGTGTTTATGTGTTTATGTGTTTTTAGGTTTGTTTGTTTGTGTGATTGTGTGTGTCTGGTTGTGTGGTCGTGTGGTTGTTTGGTAGTGTGTTTGCTTATTTGTCTGTTTGTGTGTTTCGTGTGTTTTGTGTGTGTGTGTGTTTGTGTGTTTGTGTGTTTGCGTCTGTGTTTTAGTTTTGTCTTTGTGTGTGTGTGTGTGCTCGGGTTTGCGTTGTGTGTTCTGCCTTGTTTTGCTTTGTTCATGGTCTCATTACATACGGGTTTCTAAATCGCCTGTTGTTTGTTGTGTTCCGCTTGTAGAATACGCCACAAGCGGATGGATTGTTTGTTTCAGAATCCCAGACCTGAACCGTTTTCTGGCGGTTTTTTTCGATGGGTTCGGAATGGCGGCTGCGAGTCTGTATATGACACACCAGTAAACAGAGGTATCCCTTAGTTGGTGCTGGGATTTGAACCCCTGGCTCGCGACATGAGGGAAGCTAAAGTCAGGTTCCTCGGATTCTTGTATTCAGTTTGCTCGAAGTGACGGCTTGGGGGACGGTCCAGAAGCCGCACACAAGCATCCATTCCATTGGTCAGATGTATTTGCAGGAGTCCAGTACTGCAGCATGGGAGCTTTGGAATGTTACTCAGGATGGCAGCTACGAAAACGGATTCGGGTTGAAGGCTTGGGAGGGCCGTTTCACAGATTTTGGCCAATCCACTCAGGTGAATGAGTGGTTTGTCGCTTTCACCGGAATCCTAGGTTTTGATTCCGCTGGCAACGTGAAAAGGCAGAGTGAACAACCAGTCTACTAAAATAAGCCCTATCTCCAACACACCCCCCGGACCGTCGGAGCCCTTTCGGAACCCTCGCCCGACGCCACTCGGCGATCTGGAGCCTATCGACTCCAAAGCTTCCAGCTGTTGAGGAACACTGAAGAAAATCCTATGTAGGGGGGTTAAATCACCACTACTTTATGTACCCCTCAACCCCATTCGAACCGGGGTCTAAAAGCCTGACCGTTGTGGTCTGTTGAGTCCTCTTCATTTCCAGGCCGCCCCAACAAAAACGGATTTGCTTGCTTTTTTTTGTGGGGTTTTGGCTACCATAGCCCCAGGGGCAGCTTGTTGGGTTCGTGTTTTCTTTTTTCGGCGCGGCAGCTCCAGCGGATCGTGCGCTTGCTCGTCAGGGGGCAACCCCATGAGCTGGACGTCCGCCACGCCCCACGCCTTCGGCTTGCACCTGCCGTTCCCCTGGTACTCCCGCGGTCCCATCCGCCAGGCGGGGTGGTCTCGGGGGTCTCGGGGGGTCTCGGGGGTCTCGGGGGGGGGTGAGGTGTTTTTTTTTTTGGCTGGTCTTAGTTGGGGTGGGGTGGGGTGTCGGGGTGTTTGGTTTTGGGGGGGGGGGGGGGCAAGGGGTGGGGGGGCGGAGGTGGCCGGGGAGGTGAGCTGAGGGGGGGAGGTGGGTTCTGTTTTTGGGGTGTTTGCAGAGGTCTCGGAAGGGGGCGCAGGGTTCCAACCGAATTCACGTTTTCCAAAAATGGGCGGTTTTAAACATGACCTTTGTGGCCCATAGGTGAGTTTTCCTTGGTAAGGATGTTTGTATAGTTTTAGGAGGTTGCCACTTTCTCTCCCTTGGAGAACGACAAAGTCGCAAGGATGTCCCACATTGTGATTTGTCGCAACCGTGTTTGGGTTTTTGCGGGTGGAGCGAGTGGATCGGACGCCAGGAACACTCTCCCCCCCCGGTTCCAACCCAAGCCTGGCGCGGCCGGCCAAACATCCATCACAGGTGGATGTTGTTTATCTTCTTCTTTTTGTTCTGCTGGTCGAAGCCCATAGAGGTTGAATCACAAAGTGGATTGAAGAATTGTCATGGGCGCAGAAACCACTTGTCTGAAACAATCTCCTTTTGATCCCTTCATGGGACCCAAAACAAAACAGGTCTGGTCATTTGGACACATCTTGCGTGGAGCCCAGGTTATCGACGCAAAACCCGCTCACGAATCCATGAAAACCACCAAACCGATTGGCCACGTGACTGAGGTTCCTGACGATTGCTAGGCGAAACCCCGGGCTCGCCCCTGCCCCTTCTGCCCTTTTCTTCTGCCCCTTCTGCCTTTTGGTTTTGTGCGGGCTTTCCTTTAAAACCACGAAAGCCCAAAGCTGACCTTTTCGGCTCCATATTTTACGTTGCAAAAGGTGCATCTGTCCATTCCCCAAAAACCGGGTACCTATGTTTCCGCATGGCTGGGCTGAACTCTTCAGCCTCCCGAGGCCGCCCTGCTGAATCTGCGGCGGGTAGTGATTCTCAGGCGCCTCTTGGAACGGCTGGTTGGTGTCAGCTTTCTGGCGCCCTAAGCCCTAAGTCACCATGGCAAAATGGGAGGTAACTGAAAGAACTAAAGGAAATTCACGGATGCTGTTTCAGCAGGGAACCTGTTTGCCCACTTAAGCTGGACAATCCGACCGGTAACCTGCCTGTTTGGATGATAGTTTTTTTCATTGTATCGGTGGTTCTTGCTTGAGGTCAATGGGTGGTACCCAGTTGCTCAAGGCTGCAGGGTTGACGGAGAGCCATTTTTCAACACAGCGGATCAAATCAGGTTCCAAACAATTGGATGGTGTTGCAAGGTTCAGAGCCGGAGCTCCACCAACCTGTGCCGCTCGATTCGGCCGAATGGGTTTACATATGTGTTCTTTTCCGCTGGCTCGGACGGCCTGGTCCACATTTTTGGCTCTAAAGAAAAGGATCCCCGAACAGGAATGGCACGGCTAGGGCTAGGTACTTCATGTGTAGCGAACTTCCGGTTTGGCCGCCTCCTTCCAGTGTGGCAAGCCTTCACCAGTTTGTTTGGCAGAGACATGTAATTTACAGTTGACCCAGCTAAAGCTACTTGGTTGGACTGCACGTTGTTGCCCCAAGCCTATTTCATTGGCGATGTTTGAGTTTTTGGTTGAATACTGTTGTTGATTGAAACGTAAACCTCAACATACAGAGGCGCCACAACTACTGCCCGGGCCTTCTTATTGAGGCGCCGTTTTGGTGCCCCAAAATGGAGTGCCCCTTTTTGGAGTCGACTCCTAGGGTTAAGCATTTGGGATGATGTTAGCCTTAATTTGGTCGAAGGGACAGCTTCCCGATGACTTCCATTCTTTCCAGACCCACAACGTGGGATTCAGGATCCACCGCCCCAGGGGTATAGATGGGTGTAGGTGGGTGTGTAGGGACTCCCCAAAATGGTTGTTTTATGTTGTTTTCCTCTTGGTGTTCCTTTAAAGACAACGTAAAAAGGGTACCAACTTCAATCAGAGACGAGCCACCCATAATATGTCATAGGGATGTGGACCCTATGGATTCGGGCTTCGTCTTGGATGTTCCTTTCTCAGTTGCCCCAAAGCGAATCGACTGTGTGACCTTTGGTTTTCCTGTGGTCAATTGGCATCACTCTCTGTTTCTGGGTGGAGAAAGTGAGCTTTTTTACCATCCCTCCCCAAAAAAAACAACTGTTCTTTTTGGATACTTGGGGTTTTGGACATTGAACAAATAGCTGAGTGCTGTTCGCCTCACTACCCTTTTTCCCTTGTTGGATGCTCAACGAACTGAATTAGCAAATAGGAAATGACCATGGCTATGGCTGTTGTAACTTGAGGTGACCGTCCCCTTATGGTTATACCCTACTCCCAGTGCTTCCAGGCAAGCCGCGATAGGTAACCAGGGGAAACCATGATGTAAAAGCTGGTAGCCATACCGAAGGGTTACCTATACTGGCTTGGAGGGAAGCACTGGCAGTGGGAGATGACCACGCTTCTAAAACAATGGCCACCCCAGTTACAGCCACAACCAGAGTGTACTTCCTATTAAGTCGCTTCAGCAACGGGTTCTGGATGGGTTTGAATGGGAAACCGTAGGGAGCCCAGCAGGTTTCACCCCAGGAACCATCGGAAACCACCGGACGGTTTCGCGCGGGTTTGTTTGCGGGCGGCAGGGACCACGACTGGGGCTTCCCCCGCATCTCCGCCGTGGCCGCCACGGAGTGGAGCCTGGAGAGCGGCCTCGAGGCCGTCCCCGCGGGTATCGGATTTTTGTCGGTCGCCATACGGGGGGGAAAAAAAGACGGGGAAAAGCAACCAGCGGAAGACCTGTGAATGTTGACCCCATATTAGTCAACCCCAGTGTATTGGGGGGTGTCAACCTGGGTGAAATGTGGGGAATCAGACCACAATTTGGAGTGGCCCCAGCCCTCCTAGTAGTAAACTGGGGTTGATTAATATGGAGTGAACATAATTTGGGAGGAGCATCTTGTTTCCGCGCTTGGCTTTCGAAAGCAATGTTGAGCCCCACAACGATGCTCGCTGGGGAAAGTAGCCGGGAGATGGCCCGAAAGTTTCGCGACATGCCGTAGAACTGCAAACTAACGGATTGCAACAGCAAAGGGTCAGGGCAAGGTTCAAATGGCACTGCAGCGAGGCCTTAGGGGTGTGAACCGTTTTGCTGGTTCTCAGGGAAGTTCGATTGACCAAAACCCATCAAACAATTTGAGAACTAAAAAGCTGGCCAATTACCACCCTCACTTGCCCAGGGCCGACCTGTTAACCTGTTGCGTTGGCTGGTTTTGTCCAGTCAGGGTTCAAGAGTTGATCACCGTTTTATTTCCTGGGCGGTTCTCAGCCATCCGGTTCCTTAGCTCTTTATCTTTTCAGCTGGTTTAGTAGTTGGGTCTCATTCAACTTGTGGGTCCCGACAGCCCAGTTTCTGCGTTCCAACTGAGCTCAGCTGACCGCGAGAAGCTTCCCCGGCCAGGTGGTTGGGCCGACCCCCGCTTGGTGCAGCACGTGGGCGAGCCGACGCCTCGAATCGCTTCTTTTGGTCGGACACGGCGGCAAAAAAACCACCGGCGGGGGGGGGAGCTTGTGCCAGGTGGCCACGTCTTTGTCTTGTCCATTTGGCCGAGAGGAAACAGATGCTGGTGAATATATATATATATATATATCTTTATATACACAGGAATCCAGTGGTTTTTTAATGAAAATCCAATCCCATGCGGTGTAACTGTACCCTTTCAGCTTGCTGGTTGTGAGGGAATAAGTTGGAACGAGGGGTCCCTGAATTGGTTCCCCCTCTTTTGGGCCTTCAATACGAGACCCCGGTTGGGAAAACATGGGTGAATTTTCATGGTTTGCCAATTCATCCACCCCCCTCCCCCCGCACCACATTTTGATGACGGAGTGTTATTTAGTATAGGCCCCTGTTTTCATGATAGTACAGGGGCTTGGTTTTGAGACCCTTGAGTGATTGGGCTACCTCTCAGGGGCAGCGTTTCCCCAGGTTTTACCACGACCTGCTCCATGCGCAACGGGAAGTGCCGATGCGGCCTGCAAAGCGAGTTCGATGCGTTGGGCTACAAGTGCCTCGGAGAGCTCATCCCAAGAAGCCTTTGAACATCTTTGAACGGCAAACCCAAGTGGTGCCCTTTAGTTGCTGGTTCTCAGGGAATGACCTACGCTGGGAATGAACCGGAATGGAATTCCCTGAAAGGAAGCCATGAATAAAAGGTTTTTCTTGGGGTCGTTCCAGTTCTCATTCCCTGAGAACCAGCAATTCTCTTGGAGGGGATCTCTTGAAACATATTCTCTTTTCAAGAGGGCTGCCGTGGGTGCCCTTTTGCCCGCAAGGCCTAGGAGAAGGATCCAGGGTCACGGTTCCTTCGATTCGCCTTGCTATTTTGTGGGGTTGTGCCGGTCGAATGGAATGGGAGCAGCCCTGTTCACAACGAGACCACGGCTCCCTTGGAAGGCAAACCTCCAAGCCAGGAGATCATGTTTTCCACCTGCCTTTCTGGGTGCTACGCAACTGAAGTCTCACTTGTCTAAAAGGAAACCAACAGTGTTCACGTGAATCTTCGCAGCGCATTCCCCATTGTTGGCACGGCAGTAAGCTGCGCATGTTCCTTGGCAACTTACAACGTTGGGGTGTTCACGTTTACTTGAACTTCAACGTGCACTTGCCATTAGCACGGCGGCAAACTGCACATTTTCTTTGGCAACTCACAGTGCTGGAGTGTTCACACGCAGATGAACTTCACGCGCATTCCCCATTGGCACAGCCGCAAGAAGCGCATTTTCGTCCGCAACTCAAAGCTCTGGAGCGTTCACGCTCACATAATATGATTCTCAGAGCGCATTCTTCACAGGCATGGCCGCAAGAAGCGCATTTTCTTCCGCATCTTCATAGTTGGGCTGTTTATGTTCACATGAGCTTTCGCGCCCGCATCTTATTGGCACGGCTGCAAAGAGCGATTTCGTCGCCGAATCACAATGTTGGGGCGTTCCCGTTCGCGAGCGAAATCTAGTGCGGGGTTGGGCGACTGGGGTGGGTTTTCACGTTCACATGATGTTACGGGGGGGAACTCACATTTACTTGGTCTTGCCGGCGGTTTGGGGGGGGGGGCTGGGTCGAGGTGTTCCGTTGACATGAACGCGCGTTCCACCTGCGATTGCTGATTGATCAATCCAAACCTTTGGATCTGTAGTTGCTCGTGTCTCCGCAATTGCAGCGAAACAGCTGAGACGATCCCGTGCAGGAAAGCAATTACAAGCGTGTCAGGTAGCCCCATTGTCCGTTTCCCGGAAGTCAAAAATCTCAGCGCCGCTAATGGCGGCGTGACCTTGTTGACCAATGGTGGGATGCACTTCAAACAGGGGAGTATTTGGCGTTCGGATCGTTCGGGCAAGTTATGTGGTAGCAACCTAGGTCATAGCCTACGTATGAGTCACCCAAATGGGGGTAGCCCCGTTGTCAGTGAGTTTTACCTCAAACCTAGATTGGGGTACTTCAATCGACAAACCCTCAACCTGACAGGGGGCTTTGTAATATAACCAGAAGCAATGCTTTGTGTGGTGTGTGTTGTTTCTTCTTGGGGCGATTGCTTTTCTGGTTTTGTGTTGTTGACGGCTTTCCTCGGCTGTTAATTTCCAAATTCGGCCATTCTCCAGGCAGTTCTCTCTCTCGCAAGGGCTTGCCTTATTACAATCACAGACACATGCCGAAGTTTCTAGAAATGTACGAAATATGGTAGATGATGGGTGTTCTAGATAACTCTGAAACCAATTTGCCGCAAAAGCAGATACAGTGCCAACACTTCTTGCAATCAGCCCTTAAAGTTTGTTGTTATTCATCATGGCAAAGCTCACATTACGCGTATTTTGCACCCGCTCAGTACTCTGGCCTCCCTGCAATTTGACCCGCTGGTTCCATGTTGGTGGACGGGTTGCATAAGTCTGCCGGTGTTATCACAAGCCCACCTGGAGACACGAGCGAACACCCGTGATGTAGATATGTGACTCGAACATCCTCGAGCATCCAATTCTTTCTTCATGTTTCGAACTCATTAACTCAATGTTCAGCTCAGGTACAAGATCGATGAAATGCCCAGCTTTTACGAAGTTGCGGAGAGCTTAGTGGCCGAGCCCGGCTTCGATGTGCGAGCGCACTACTTGTCCCCGGCCTTGACCGCATTTGTGGAGGGCATCATTGAGGAAAGGGTGCCGTAGCCTCTGCCTTTTTTGGAGGATATCCCGATATCCTTGTTCGGGGTTGATTTCAAAGGAAGGCAGCGGGGAATAAATCGAAGGTTTTGATTCTTGGCGATGGGTGTTCCGCCAAGTTAATGGCCCAGGTCACAACCGAACCAAACCAGTCGTCCCGCTTGCAATCCTCTTTCAGCCGATTCTCCGGTGCGTTTCGTCAGGCTAAGTCACGCCAACTCAGGGATTTTCCCATGGCCGAGAGCCGACCACAAAGCAGAGCTGCAACACAAGCCTTGGTTCCCCTGAAAACAACCTCAACAAGGGGCTCCCTCAAAATAGACACACTCAAATGCTTGTGGACATCAGACCTCCATTTTTCCTCGTTCTTTTTGGGGATGGGTTCCCTTCAAAAGTCAAACAACCACCAAAGGGTTGTTTCTTGTTTGCCCCGGCGACATGTATGGGAAATCATATGTTTGTGTCCTGGTGTTTTTCCTGGCAGGACGTGCGATCTCAGGGTGCGGACCCTGAACTGGCCACTCGGAATACGCCAAGGGCGGGTAAAGCAAAGGGTGGTGCGGATTTTGACATGGCTGGTTCCTTTGAACATCGCAGGGGGTCTAATGTCGACCTCTAATTTCAGTTGATGTAGAACTTTCAGCGACGAAGCAGTTGAAAGAAAGACAACTAGGGGAAGTCACGAAGTATGAACACAAGTTGGGAGTCCGACTGGTCACCAAAGACCAATCGGTAAGTGCTCAACTGATCAGCCTGTTTGCCCTGATGCCTCTTGGGCTCTGTCTTGTAGGGAAATCCTTTTGGTTAAGGGACACAAAAATGAAATCCGTCCTTTTGAGGCGTCCCCTAAAACATGACACACACCTTTTTGGGCCGTTGTTGGATTCCTATGTTCACTTTGGAAGCAAAGATGCTGCGGGTCAGGTTGGCTTGGCCAAGGTGTAGGGGATTACTTACAGCTAGGCACCTCGTTGGGATCGACGTTTCTGCCTTGGGAGGGCCAACCAGATCATCACATCTCGCACCAGGATCGTTCGTGGACTCGACTCGACTCGCGTTTCAGGAAGATCTAAGTTTTTGAGTGGCAAAGAACAATTGAGACTTGTTTTTGGCCAATCCACTCTGCAAGTGAGACATAGGCTCGCATTTGCTCAAAGGTAGTCTATCACTATTGCAAGTATCTTTTCCAGGGGGCTTAAGCAATTGGAGGTAGGTAACAAGGAAGTTGTCCTGTTGCAAGACATGATTACCTTGCTTACCTGCCATGATGGCTCCGCCCGGCAGCTCACTTGGATAGGTAGTTCATATGGCATGAGGACAACTGCATGCCCTCAGATCCAATTGGGTATGGCTTGTTTTAGTGGAGTGTTTGGTCCTATCATTTTTCTTTTTAAACCAACCAAGACGGGTGCCTTCCAAAATCGATGCACCCAACTGATGTCTGTCGAGTCTCGGTGCCTTTACGGGGCTTGGGTAGTTCGGGAGTTTATGCTGGGGAAAAGGCCAATGGGGTGATTCCAGAAATAGGACTTGGACTCCTCCCGTAAAATGGCAGAGGTTACCATGTGGTTTGCCCCTTGGATTTGGGCTGGAACTTGGGGCGCCTGAAACCTTCCAAGTGCAATTAAAAGTCATGACCTCCCCCCGCCGAAAGGCCCTGAGGGTCTAATTTTTCGGGTTTCCTAGGCGGGGGGTGGTCAATCGGGCCATGTACATTTGCTTTTTGTTGTTGTTCTTTTTTCGGGCGACCTGTACAAACTGCCCAATGCTGGTGGTCTTTAGGCATTAGCTTCCCATTTGAGACTGGCTTCAATGATTCCCTGGCTCCTTTGGTCCCCGATATCCGTGGTCAAACATGCGTTTGTCTCAGCCTCGGAAAACTCCATCGAGAGAGCTCGATCACCGAAGGTGGTGAATTGGCTCACCGCAGCGCGGAGCGGGCTGATGGCCATGAAGAACAAGGAGCGCATTCGGAACCGAGTCGTGTTTCTCCGATTTTGGTGGTTTTCCTAACTCCAATATATGGGTATGGGTCAAAAGAAAACCACCAGAAAACCGCAGGAATTGGACTCCATGCTTCCGTTTACCAGGGTTCCATGTTGGGCACCTATCTTTGACCCACGGCCATATTGCCAAGGAACACCCGGTTGCTCTTTGAATCTATGGCCCGGTCGCAAGGAGTTCGGCTACAAGATGTACTTTGGCGGCCCCAACTATGCTGGCACTGCCTGGAACGGCTATGAGCTACCTGGCCATCGCCGAGCTTGGGGGGAGAGCATGGGGAGAAGTTAGGGGAACCAACCTTGCAGCGCCCCAAACCCCAAAAAATGCAAATTTGGGAATTAGGTGGTTCATGGTGGTTCGCTTCTTACCTGGTTTCATGCTTCGGTTTTGGCAAGCCGGATATGAACCTGCATGACAATTGTCGGATGGTAAGCATCGCCATTTGGAGAGGCCAAGTCAAGGTGAGTTCCCCTCAAGCTGGATGACGTTGATGTTTGAAAGTCACTTGATCATTCGTAGCATAGCCTTTTGCTCCTTGTGTGAGCTTGTTGTACAGTGGGCAGCTTGGGCCCATTTGTTTCGCTTCTGCATGAGGCAGTGACCCTGATGATGTGTAGCCATATTGGTTCCTTGAAACCCCGTCCTGTTTGGTTGCCGCACAAATACAGCCAGCCAGCCAGCCAGCCAGCCAGCCAGCCAGCCATCCAACCATCCAACCAACCAACCAACCAACCAACCAACCAGCCAACCAGCCAACCAACCAACCAACCAACCAACCAACGAGGTTTGATTAAGCTACACTCGCGCACGTCAACATGGAACCTTGCCGCATCCCCCTTTTGGGGGGGAAGTCCATTTTAACCATTTCAGGTATCCCTTAATTAGGTGGTTGGCTTGGTTGGGGATTGAGCCCCTTCTTGTAGAGGCCAAATGGGAACCTGCCCTCAAACCAGGCTCCAAACCACCAATTGGAGGGAAGCATATCGTATCAATTTGTCAATTTGGGTAAAAAACGTTTTTGTTTAATGGTGGTTTTCCTGCTGGCTTTCCCTTAAGACCGTAGGGGAACCCTCAAACCTTTGGTGCATTTTGCTTGGCTGTTAGGACTTTAATTTTTTGCCAACTAATGGGTTTTCCACTAAACCACTAAAAGTTAAAATTTTAGCAGGAGAGCAGAAAGCCACCGAGAAACACAGGCACATCCAGGTGCAGAAACGGGTCCAAACACACGCCGAGGACCAGCTTTCTGAACGGCACCAGCGCCTTTGGCTTCGAGTACGCGCTCTACAACACCGGGGGAGGGCAATGGCACCACGAGACATGGCACCATGGATTTTTTGCTCTCGGGGGGGTAGGCATAGGTGTCCTTTTTTGGTTGTGGTCGAACAAATAGATGGGTTTCCCTGGTTTTGCTGGTGGCTTAACCATCTACCAGGGAAACCCATCTATTTGCCCTAAAAGGAAACTATGGGGGTAGGTACAAGGGGGTGCTTTCCTGGTTCTCTCTAGGGTTCCTTGGGGAGCCTTAGAAGGGAACCCCTCTTGGACCCCCGTCCCTTCGGGATTCCATAAACTGGCGTGACACAAATTGCGGGGAACGGGCCAGGGAAAGCACCCGAGGAGCTTCCGTGCACTCTCCCAAAACATCCCTTCCAGGTGCTGAAAGGAATATGTTTTTATTTTTCCCTGTTGCTGTTGAAGGGAATCTGTCACTGTTCTTTTTGTTTTTCTGAAGGGAAAAGGCGACAGGGAAACATTGGGAATACAACCATATGGGAGTGTTTTTTTTTTTGAGGGTGCCCCTTTTGAGGTTTGTGTGAACGGAAACCAAAGGGAAAGGGCGCATTTGAGCAGCAGTCAAACCCAGATGGTTCGGGTTCAAGGTTAGTGGGGGCAATCCCAACCAACATTGCCGCCGTTTGACTCTGTATATACATGTGTGACTCAACCCAAACGGGTTCCCTGTACTCTTGGCCAAATCGAAACTGTGAAACTTGAATTGGTGTTGTCTTCATTAGGGGCCGGAACCAAAGTAAACAGAATAACATTTAACACCCTGGTATTTGAGCCAGTAGGTGTGTTGTGCCAGTCCAATGTTGTAGTTTGAGCTGTTGTTTTGGGTGTTTCAAGGGCAAACATCGTGAGCCCTGTCAAGCAAAGTTGCTACAAATTAGTGGTTGTAAAAAGTCCGGAGACAACCAAAATTGTTGTTAAATAAAACGATTGGTTTTGATTGCCAGACTCACCTTTCTGCTTTTTGACTACATTGATCCCATCCCAGACATGGTTTTCAAAACTGGGTACAGAAGCCATCGCACCTACTTCGCTGCGTGCCAGTTTGCTATTGTGGCTCCGTTTAAGCAACCCAAGACAAACCCAATCAAACAAGACACTTACATGCTTTGTGGACCCGACCAATGGCCACCATGATAATTATTTGCTTGGCGGTTTTTTTGTTGCGCGGTTGGTGTCCTCAATGCTGGACCCAAGAACATGGCCAGACGGAACTGACCCTGTTGTTGTTTTTTCCCGCTTGCACGCTGGCTTCATGCTTCTTAATTTGTGCTTTCAGTTGTTTTGTTGCAAGACCTAGCTTGCCTTTCCAGCTTGTTTCCCGCTTGTGTTTTCTTTCATGATCCCTGTTGCTCAGTTCCCCCACGTTGTGGTCTTTACACTTCTTCAGAAGACCATTTGAGCGGTAAGCCAGAGAAGTCTGGCGACTTTTCTGACCACCCCACCCTTTCAGAAGCGAGAAAGCTCTTTTGTCGACGAGGAGATGGGGTTCTCGGACCCCTACTTCGGCAGCTCCCAGACCATGGCGCGGCGGCCCATCATTCGCGTCGCGCGAGCCCTCGAGACGGCGACTTATTGGATTGGTGTTAAATGACATGGAACCTGCAAAGGGGGAGGAGCCCCCAGGAGATTCGAGTGTTTATGTTGTTTGGGGCTTTTCCTCTTCAACTTGGAGGGTAATTATCTTGGATGGTACGTGGCTTTTTTTTGTCTGTTCACTGGAGGGTAACTTGGATGGGCATCTGTCAATAGAGCCATGGTTTTTGGGGGCCCGACAGCTGGACAAAATCCAGGGGATGTCGCTCACCGAAAGTGCCGTTACATGGGATATGAGTATACGGGAAATGTGGGCGTCCCTTTTCGTGTCCTGCAGCAACCTAAGTTGTTTGCCAGCATGCGTTGCTCAGTGTTTGTTTGTGATGTGTTTTTTCTCGGCGCCCCCCCCCGCCCCCAAAGAATGCACGGAATGGAGTTCGGCGCTCCAATTCCTTTTTGTGTTCCCTTTGTTGGTTCTCGGGGGGAGTCTATGGAGACAGGGTGCCATTGGTCAGCGATGTATTGTGTACTCCGGGTTGCCCAAAAGCAAGTCATCGCTTTCTTTCTCTTCAAAGTCTGTCCATTTTCTCTTCGGGCAGAGTGGTTGACGCAAATAAAGAAGCGGTGTGTTGGCTAGAAGGGGGGTTGGGTCAAAAATCGTTGGGTGTTTCTCCTTAGGGAAAGCTTTACACGGTTGGCTTCCCCTTCTTATCCCCTTGAACCCATCTTTTGAGAAAGCCTCACTTGCCCAAGCAAGGGGGTAGGTCCCCAAAATCCAGTAGTCTATGCTTTATTTGGCAGGGACATGGGGCTCCCTAAATATCCCACAAAACAGGGGACTCACTAAATGTCCCATGTCCTCTTGTGCGAGCGTTTGTAATATTGACGGTGGCCCAAGTCACCCTCTCCAAAATCACAAAGTAGCCACAGCGATCAGAATTCCAGTTTGCGATACTTCCCACAACAAAGCTGAGGTTCCCTCATGTTCCCTCCAGTTTTTCCTCTGTTTTGGCTTCCCGCAGTGGGTTTTTTTCCGCCAGTTTCGCTCTATTTCAAGCTTTTTCCGGTGGTATTTTCCTCCAGCAGTTTTGGCCTATGTTTGGTTTTTTTTCCTCGGTGTCGTTTTGTTTTGGGCAGGTCACCCAGTACACCACGCAGTTCGGGTACACCCCGGGCTACGATGCCTCCGCATGCATGGCTGCTGGCACCGCCTTGGCCTATGGCCTGCAGAAGTACGGCCAGTCCCTGTCACTCGGTTGGCTAGGTCCCCCAGCAGTGCCCTTTTACCCTTTTCTGGTTGGGAGGGTTCCCATACTAAAATGGGCGTCCTGAAAAAAAATGGTACCAACTTATTCTATCCTCTCTACTGGAGGACCTAGTTAGGTTTCACGAAGGATTTGGACCAACTCAATGGGTAATTCCTTGGTTGATGAACACATAGGTCCGAATGCAGCGTGCCCAGACGAAAGCATGCCTCCTTCTGCCGGGTTTGACGGACCCAGTCCCATCGGTGAGTCCGCGGCCCGAGAGGCGGGTTTGTCTCGAAATCGGGATCTCCTTCGAAATGGTGGTTCCCCTTTACTCACTTCCTGAGTTCCTGGACGTTTTTTTGTTTTTCTTCGGGTTTGAACCATTTTAGTAGCAAACAAAGAGTTTTGACTCTGTTTGGCCCATCCACTCAGGAAGTGAGATAAGGATTTTGGGACCACGAAAGAAATCGATGTCCTTTTGCTGAAATGAAGATTGGTGAGTTTTCCCTTTTTGGTTTTAAAGGGAATCGATCACTACAGGACATATCTTCTTGTTTTTCCCAGGGGGCTTAAGCAAATGGAAGCAATTGGATTCCTTTTGGTTTCCTAGTTTTCTTTGGCGAAGGTGTCCGATCCATTGGGGATATGTTTCTATCAACGGTCGTTTTCACACCTCCGCCGCGCTAAGGAGCACGGACTCGGGCTGCACTCAAAAGGGGGGTGCAGTCCGAAGAAAGAGACGGGTGGTTCTAAACATCTACTCACTTGACCTTGGCCCATATTTGTGATCGGTTGTTTTTAGGGCCTCAGGGGTATTGTTGAACAGACCAGCACCGTTTGGACCAAATAGTGTTCGATCTCAGAGCCGGCCCGTTCAGTAGCTGCCCTAAACCCAGGACTGGGTAACATGTGTCCCGGCTGTCGCTGGAAAAACAGCCTCAGGCGAATGGACCTAAGAAGTTATCGCACCTCCGTCCCCAAGATCAAAACCAAAGGCTAGAAAGTTTAGAGACTGTTTGCACCATGGAAACTGGTTGGTTTTGTTTTCATATTTGTACGTTTCCAGCCCCATGACTGCGTTGTCATTTTAAAGGGCATTCCAACTTGGTATCACATTAAATCCAGTCGGTCGTAGACCTATACCTGTCTACCGGGCTACCGGAAAATTCCCGGTGGCAAAAATGCATAGGACATGACTTGTAAATATGTAGAGAGTAATTACGTGCAAACACATATGTGTATGCGTTCTTCATCACCTTTTGCAGTTGGAAGTACTCTTTCGGGACATTTCTCTCCGCCTTTGGAGGTTCTGAAACATTCAGTCGTATTTTTGGGTCAGTCGTGAACCTCTCTCGTTTGTCCATGCACTTTCTTGCTCCTCACACTCTGCGAAGATGCAGGAAGCGGTGAAATGCCTGACGCTCCAGGAAACTCCGCGAAGTTACCGAAAACTCTGCTTCCCTTTGCTCAATTATAAAGTGTATGTCCTCTGTTGGTTTTACAGACAACCTATCATGGGAGATACGTTCGTTCTTGCCCGGACACGCACGCAAATGGAGGTCTGGGGAATTCCTAAGCTAGGTCCCCCCGTAGTGCCCCTTTACCCTTTTTTGGGGGAGGGTTCCCCTACTAAAATAGACTACAGAAAAAAAATCGGGATCTGGAGGACCTAGTAACCTTCATTCCAGACGCATCCGGTGAACCTCCGGAAGATCTCCACGCTTCCTTGGTTTCGTTCGTTTCGCGACGCTCCCTTTCCTTCGTTTCAACCGACGCGCCGGCTGTCTGAGGACGGGCAAGACCTTAGCCCAGCGCCGCGAGGAGATCCGCGTGTCCGTGGGCCACTCACCAGTTTTTGCTTCTGTTTCGGTGGATGAAGGTAGCAGATGGTCCCTGGCAAGTAATGGATGTGGCTCAAAATTAGACAGCAGGGGTTATGCAGGCTTTGGTCCATGTGTCCACTTACCCGGGTTCCATTTTGGCACCGGTTTTTTGAGCCACAGCCTAATAGGTTCGGATATCCGCACTTGAGTTAAACAAAAAGCACATGGGTGTTGGGTCGAAGCTTATAGTCCCAGGTGTTGGTTGTGGACTCTAGTCACTTTTTGCGAAGACCATGTTCATTTGTTGCCATCACTAGGGTCTAAATCATTAGAAGGGGCTGGGGTACCAAACCAAATGCACTTGTCGTTTTGGTGAACAACTGTTTCAATTTAGGTTGCCCCTTACAAGTGAAGGTAGGCTAGATCTGGGGTTGACATTTACTGCTTCCTTCCTGAGTGGATTGTCCCAAAACAGTCTGAAATAATTGCTGTCAACAACTCACGCATTTCTTCACTGGCAAGCCGCCGGAACATCCCCGGGTTCCTCAAAAGTGGTTGATTGGAGGGCAACTGATCAACTGGAGATCACCAGTAGTACGCCATTGTTTGTTTGTGAAGGCTAGAACATGGATTTCATGGCTTCCCTTTCCGCTGAGGCCTATTGATAGGGAAACCCAGAAGTTGACTCCGGATTGGGCCAACGGTGGCACTATGCCAACTGTTTGTTGGTTCAGTTCGTGCCGAATTCTTTCCGCAATCAATCTGAAGCCGCAGAAAGTGCAATATCCTGAGTCCGAAGCCAAGCTTCTCAATCTGTCCAGTTGTCTTTTTCAGTAGGGCCAAGATCGTGTTTTTTGGAGACCTGGCATTTAGCAGACAAAGCAAAGAGGAGACATTTTTAGAGGAGCCACCCTTAGCCCAGAGGGCCCAATCAATGAAGAATTCCCGCAAAAAACAGGACGCCATCTATAAATGGGTGTCTTAATCCTGGGTTCCCATGAGGTATGTTTTGGTGTCTGTGTGTTGGCAACTTGAGACTTACGTGAGAAACGGCTTGGTTTCGGCGAGTTTGAATCGGGACTGAGGTAATCTCAATGATGAGACCCAGTTCGGCATGGTCCGCTTCAACCGCTACAATCAGACGCTCGAATCGCCCGGTGTGAATTGGAAATGTCACATGGGCTTCAAAGCGCTTGACGGTTGTCCTTTGTAACATCCCCCCCCCAAAAAAAAAGGCCCCTAATCAGTTACGCTGCTCTGGCTTCTATGGCATGTTGCGGGGCCGCCATTCTCCACGATATGGATCTTGGCAAAGGAAGAAAATACAGCCCGAGTTTTAGTCAAGAGAGGCTTGTTTGAAATTCAGAGGCGAGTGGGCAGTAGCACTACAGTTAAAAGGGTTAACAGGATCATTTCCGGGGGTTGGCAAGGCGTCACGAACTGATCTGGAAGGTGAGAGCCTGAGATGCTCCAAAGAAGCATCACCTTCCCTTGGCTTCCCCCATGTCTCCTGAATCAGTATTTGAATTGGCGTGGGCTCTGGTGCGTTTGTCGTAGTTGGATATGCTCTGCGTTGGAGAAGTTCACTTCAGTCAGAGGGGAGGACATCTGTGATACTCAAGGAGACAACATGCAGACCGAGGCGGATCGGGGGTACGTGATGTCATGTTGGTCAGGGGAAGATTAGTTAGGGCTGGGGATCAGTGAGGGCAATCAGAATCCACGGATGCAACATACAGACTTTAAGAAGAGGTAGCGACTCCTAGGAGCCAATGAGCAAACGAGTCAAATGGGGAGCATCAAGGGCACCTTCCCTTGTGGCCCTGAGTCGATACTTAACTCGGAAGGTACCCAACGCAAAGGATGGAACAGCCACACCCAATAAATCTGTGGTTGAGGGGGTGGAACAGACCTCACTTGTCTTTGTGTGTGTTTTGGTTGAGGGCACCCTTCTCGAGGTTGTTTCAAGGGGCAAACAGTCAGTTGAAAGGGTTTGAAATCCTACTTCCCATCTTGGTGCGTGTTTTTGGTGGGTACCCTCTTCACCTTGAATTCAATAAATTCAAGGCAGATTAAACAGAAAGCCGTAAATTAATTCGGGGGTCCAAACCCTACGTTCAGACCCAGAGCTCGGCTGTCTCGAGGAACAACGGCCGCATGAGCGTGAACTGGCAAGTCTTGGAGGACGGAGGCACCAGGCGCGGCGACTCCAAGCGCACGCCTTAAGGTGCGTCCTTTTTTTGGGGGTACCGGTGCTTGGTGGTTTTAACGCGAAACTAAGAGGAACACAACACCGTTTTGGGGGTCCAACCTTAAAAATAACGTGTCTCAGAAGTTGTTTTGAATTTTGGTTGTACTTTGGCCAATCCCTGCAGGAAGTGAGTTCTGGGTTCTGAGCGACGGAATACATAGTTTGGTGGATAAGTATATGAAGCAGAATCGGAACTTTTGTCTTTTCATTCTGTTTGAAGGTGGAGCCCTTTTAAACTTAAGTCATGCACATCGGGTACCCCGTTTGTCCGACGGACATCCAGAGAGCTTTTCAGTATCCTATTATTTGGGCAAATTGGTTTACGAACTCACCGATACGGGGCGAAGACAAGCGCAAAGTCCATGATGAAGGTCCATCACTGGATGATGACGTAGTTCAGGGGGGAATAATACTAATTTTGCCAGATCAGATACATGAGTCTTAAACATCATGATATCCCAAGACCCCTTCTTGGGTTTTCCTTACCAACGTTAGGAACTTGTTGGTAACTTGGGGTATGTGACGTAACCTACTTACTTGTAAATCCAAGTGGGATTAGCCCGATTGTGCTAGGACTGACTTAGGTGAGCGCCCAAGTAACTAGGGACATCTCCGAAGGGAACCCCATACTAAGGCCTTAGATAGGAGAGGTTACAAACCTCAGCCGAACTTATGCACCAATTCTGGCGGGCTCACCGGTTAAGGGTGAAACCAGCAATTCCGGAGCATGCAGTTTCATAGGATTTGCCTCAAAATGTCGCGCGAATCACGGAGAAGACCCCTAGACAATGCAAATTTGTTGCCCAGGCCAGTTGACGCGTACCCCAGGTCAAGCACCTAGTTCAGTGTTCCAGCCCAGTGGCGGACTCCAACAAGATCGCTTGCAAAACCACCTACACCTAAAAATCCCTCGGAAACCAACTGGAATATATATATATATATTTATTATATTGTTATTGTGGTTACTAGTACTATATTTACTATTATTATTACTGAGGTGTGTTTAAAACACACCTCAATAATAATATGTTGGCCAAACAAACAAAACTTTTGTTTGTTTGGCCAACATATCTCCTGACTGTACCTTTCACTTCCAACCATTTGCCCATTTTCCTTTTGGCTTCCCAACGGGAAAAAATCCGTCCGCACCCCGCCCTCGCGCCCTCCGCGGCCTCGCGAGCGGCGGAGGCCGGTGCTGCCGCCGGAGGCGGCCTCCACGGCCTTCCGCTTCCCCAGCCCCTCCTGGGACGCGCGCCTGGGCTGCCCGGCCGGGACCTACGCTGGGGGAACCCTCCAGGCGCGACCAAAACACGCGGAGGAGGAGAAGGATTCGGGGGGCTGGGGGGGTGGGGCGGGTGGGGGGGGTGGGGGGTGGGGGTGGTGGTTTTTGTTCCTTGTTCGGTTTGTTTATGCTGTGTGTGTGTTGTTCTTTGCGTTTGGTTCTTGCTGGGTTTGCATGTGTTGTTGTGTTTTTGCTTGGCGTGCTTATCGGTGGTGGTTGTCTGCGATTATGTTGTTGTTGTGTGATGCGTTTGAGTTTGTGCGTTGCTTGCTTGATTGCTGTTTTGTTTGCTTCAAGCACCCCCTTCACGTTAAGGAAGCCAAACAGATCCCACAACAGGAACTTTCTCTTGACGTGCATGGTGTTGACGGGTTCCATATGAAGCTGCCGAGTAAGCCCGGCCAAACAGGATCAAACTCATCCAGCGTCCCCCCAACAACTGCATGTTCAGAACAAGTCCTGCCCAAAAGGCAGTCGTTGGAGAAAGGACGGTCCTCATATGTAACCTTGGGAAAAGGCCGTGTCAGAACACGTGGGATGATGATCAAACATGATTTATAGAAGGATGCCTATAGTGAAACCAGCATTCAATTTGTGGTGTGCTTGTTTGCTTGCCTTGTTTGGGCGTTTGTTTGTGTGTTTGTTTTTAAATTTGTCGTTCTGTCTGTCTGTTTATTATTATTGTAAGTTGTTGTTGTGCGTTTGTTTGTTTGTTTGTTTGTTTGTTTGTTTGTTTGTTTGTTTGTTTGTTTGTTTGTTTGTTTGCCGTTTGTTGGTTGGTTTGTTGGTTTGTTTGTTCCTTGGTCGGTTGATCGGTTTGTTTGTTGGTTTGTTTTGGAGGTTTGACCATGGCATGTGCGGTCACTCGTCAACCGATGTATCGCTATTGGCCAAAGTACACGTCCTGGCATACGCCATTGGTTTTGACCAATGGATTGCGTGTTGTCATCGCATCGGGTCTGAAGCAAAGTGCCAGATAATATTATGAGCCACAATCAAAACCTGGGTAGATGAAGGTTAGTAAAGGACGATCCCAACCATAAATAGCTGTGGCCGCCTTTCTAATTAATTCTTTACATGGTTCTGGGTTCACCATTTTTGTACCAGGTTTTGATTGTGACTCTTGCCAAAGAGGGGATGGAGCTGTTCCTTCCGAATCCGAATCCTGTGCGAGCATATGTTCTCAGGTTTTTTGTCGAGTGTTATCCAAGGCTCAGGCGCATTTTCAGGTCCAGGTGGGTGTTCCATCGCTCGCCAGGTGCCGACGACTTGCATTCCATGCCAGGAGAGCGCTTGGGCTTGGGGCAGACCTGAAAATCCCTGCTGACTGCACCTATCTGCAAGGATTCGGTTTGAGACAGGTTCCCTTTTTGGTCAGCGGCTTCCCTTCTAAGGAGGGTCATTCAAAAAAGAGTTGCCCCTTTTTCTATCAGACTCTACTTTGTATATTGTCAAAGTCAATCTTACATCCTTATGCTGGATATAGGGACTTCTTTGCTGCAGTGGTGTCCCACTATAAATGGAAGTCTACAGGTTTTGAAATATTCATCTTGGGAAAGCCAATTTGATTCGGGAGCTGGCTTTGGTGAGGTGATGCTTGAGGAAACATAGGGCCAGTTCCAACTTCCCTGCAGCGTGGTTGTGGAACGTCCCTTTTGGTGTTACCCCCATTTCAATATGTATAGACCTGTCTTTGGGTAGTATGTGGCGGAATGTGCCGGACAACCCCGATGTTATGATGCTTGGTATTAGTGAAAGGAGTGCGATCTCCCACACGAGCACACATGCACTGGAATCGTCTTTGAGCCTAGGTGGATTTCAAGATTCAGCAGGGATGGACCATCGTAGTCCAAACATGCTATTGTGAGATGCGCAAATTCTGAGGAAGAACAGGCCATGTTGCTTCGTCGTGTGTGGGTGTTGTCTGCTTGGTTGTCTTGAAGACTCCCCAAGTTCTTTTTCTGCGCACATTGCAACAAACTTACTTGCATGGCACAGACATGATCTCGACCAGGATGACGGTTTCTTGAGGGGGGAGGGTCTACTGGCTTCCTTTTTGTGAATTGTAGCAGCTCATTTTTGCGGATTTGTTCGTCGACTTGCCACAGAAAGTGGCAGCCCCCAAACTCATTTCCCACATGTAGGAAGCCTTTAACAAGTAGTGGCAAACGCCTTGCGACCTGCCACAAGAGTTCCTGTGTTGTGGGGGCAGTGTCCCCCTTTTCCAGGGTGCTGCATTGGTAAGATCCCCCAGAATCATTCTTGTTCTCACAACCGATTCTTTTCTCATGGCAAACAACAAAGTCAGGAAGTGGATATGGCTTGTGTCAAAATACGGGGACCACATCAAAACATGTGGTTTCCTTGTGCCTCAAAGCCACCCAACAGAAGCATATTACCCACTGAAACTTTTCGTTTTTTGCGGTGGTGCTTTGCAGAGCCGCCAAAAATAAAAACCGGGCTTTGTACTGCTCGGGGCCCATGTTCGCTATTATTTAAACATATACACGTACATGTATGTAAACATATTCATATATATATATATATATACACGCACATTAATGTAGAAAGACATATGTGACCATGAAGCCCTGGAACACCATGAAGCCCATACGGCCCCCTAAGACAGGACAGAAGCCACTGGTTGGGAGTCTCAGCACAGGAGGGCAGGTTCCGCGGAGTGGTCAGCGAGGGCTTGAACTTCTCCAGCTGCGAGATCTGCCCTGAGGGCCAGGCGCCATATCTTTCGCCGTTTTGTTTTTCTTTGGTGCATTTTGCCAAGGGCTGTTAGGACTTCAACTTTTTGCAAACTAATGGGTTTTCCACTAAGCCACTAAAAGTTAAACTTTTAGCAGGGGAGCAGAAAGCAACCGAGTTTTGACCAACCACATGCAAAAATGATTTATTCATATGGCTGTGGGTCAAAACCAATGGGATCCCATTTTGGGGTAGGTGTACCACCCATTTTAGAACCTATTTTAGTGGGGATTGGGATGTTCACTGGCGGTACGGGATTTTGGCCATATATATATATATATATACACATACACACGGTAGCATATTTGAATGTGTGTAGTGCACGCATGTATGTATGTATGTATGTATATATATATATATATATTGCAGGATGTGTGCATATATGCACATACATGTGTATGTATGCTTTTTGTATATGCATATATGTGCGTACATGCATGGGATGGATGGTACCCTAACAAGCCAATGTTGCACCCTGAGAATCTATCAAGCTGAAGCTTTGGGTGTGGTACATCTGCATGTAGGATATCCGCCCTAAGCCAAGCTAAGCCCGGAGAATCGAACACGGTGCAGCGGACATACATTTTGGATGGTGCCCTAATCGAAGAAGCGGAAGCTCTGCGCTTGTGTGAGAGTGTTGTGTGTTCCGTGTGTGTCTGTGTGTCTGTGTGTTTTTGAGAGTCCCTCCCCTAGCTCCTGTATTCAGGGACTTCCCCGAATGCACCTGATCCGGTCTTAATACGACCCTGCCTGGCGGCTTTCAGGGTCCACCGGGGCTTGTGGGAGGGCGTTGGGATTCGATGTGTTCGCTCCCGTTTTTTCCACCGTCCCCCAAAAGGCTTTGATAGAGGCAAGGCAATACACCCATCAACTCTGCACTTCTTTTTTGCCAGACTTCGCTTCCCTGGTCGACTTCAGTTTTCTCGGTGCCTTGTTGATCCTTTCCAAAGCACAACTCGTAAGGCCAAAGAACCCGGAGAATGGCTTAGCAACCTGTGGCTTAGCAACATGGCTGCGAGTCAAATCTCCCTCCGCCCCACCACGCCCCTTTAAATGAGTCAAAGCCGCTAAAGAGAATGAAGCCCCCTCAAAAACAAGAGCTACCTCTTTTTTTGGTTCTCAGGGAATGAGGGCGTCATTTCCCCTGCAACCATTTTGTGTGGTTTCTTTCCCCCAAACGCTTCATTTCGAAATCTAGCGGATGCATTCCTTACCCAAACGGTTCATTCCCAAGTGGTCTAGGTCCTTTTTTTTGGGAGGGTTCCCCTACTAACATAGACCACAGACAAAAAAGGGTACCAACTTATTCCAACCTTTCTACTGGAGGACCTAGTGGTTCATTCCAAAAACCCCGGTCGATTTCATACACAGCACGACTGGCGCTCGCAGGGAACCCTGCCGGGTGCGGAGGGCTTCGTGCAGTGCCAAGCTTGCCCTGCCGGCAGGTACCAGACACTTGCATGGAGCATTTTTGGTCCTGGCGTGTGTTTTTGTGATGATCTTTTTCGTTTTGCCGTTATGTGGGCTGTTTCTGCTTGTTCTTTGGCTACGCTGTCCTTGAGTTGATGTTAATTGATTTGTTTGTTGTGTTATTGCATTGCTTGTCTCGCGTTTCTTTCTCTTTTGGTTCGTTGTTTTATTGTTCAACAACCCACATTGGCTCTCTACTTAACTCTGGGTCTGAGGATGAATGTGCTCAAAATGGGATCGGTCATTTGGAACATCTTAAGGTACCAAGTGACACTTGGGCTACCCTCCCTCCCGACTCACATGGAAGTGCAACAAAGCCCCCTTTCCAAGAGGAAACCAGTCTTGCTACAGCGGTTTGTGCGCTTCCATGTGAGTCGGGAGGGAGTTGCATTCGCCTTAGTCACCAAAGCTCACCCTAAAATAGACTGGGTGGTGCACCTACCAACCAGAATGGTGCCATTGGTTTTGACCAGGGTTGTGGGCTCAAAGGGTTTCTCCCCACTTCTGTGATACAAGGGAATCCCCCTTTCTATTCACAAAATCGTCTTCGGTGTTAGGCCCTCTCTGTATCACAGATTCCTGGATTCCATTCCCCACAGCCCTGGTTTTGACCACCACAGCCATATTCGCCGAGGAACGGAGACTCGGACCGCGGGGTCTGCAACGAGTGCGCCTTAGGCACCGCCCGGGCGGGCAACGCCTCTGGGGGCTGCCAGTTGTGCAGCGCGGAGAGCTACGCGGACGCGACTCGGAGCTCTCTTTTTTTGAGTCGGATGGAGGGGCTGAAGTTCTTAGAGCCTTTTTTGGGAATGACTGAACCCTGTTGAGTTTTGGATGATTTGGGTGTGTCTTTGTTTCATGCTGCATTTTGCCAGGTTTGTTTAAAGGGAAACCAAAGGGAACACCACCGTTTGTTGTTTGGAGGGTACCCTTTTCAGCTTGGTTTCAAGGCAACCGCACCACTTGGTTGCCGGGTACCCTTTTAAGCTCGGTTTAAACGGAAAACCACCGAAAGCCTGGTTTTTGCGGGTGCCCTGTCCAGGAAAAAAACCGAACACTTTTTGTTTTTTCTAGGGGGACGTCCCAGGTGAAGGGCCTGGAGAGCTGTAAGGCGTGCCCGGCCAGGCGGGAGGGGGGGGGGCAGGGGAGAAAATGTTTCCGCGGTTGGGGAAGGGGGGGTTGCGATATTGGTTCCTGTTCTTCAGGTTGCCCTCAGTGGGTTGCTTGGATTTCTGGTGTGCATTTGTTTTAGTTTTGTTTTAGTTTTGTTTTTGGCACTTGATATTTTTGTGTGTGTGCATGTGTGTGTGTGTGCAGGCTTTCCTTGAATAGACCCTGATTCATCAAGTCAGTTTTGACCCCCCCAAAAAAGTCCAGCAGCTTTTAGCTGGTGTGTTGGCAAACTGCTTTTGCCTAAGAAGCTAATCTAGGTCCCGCAGTAGTGCCCGTTTCCCAACTGTTTTGGGGGAGGGTTCTCCTACTAAAATAGACTACAGAAAAAAGGGTACCCTTATTCCAACCTCTCTACTGGCGGTCCTAGTAATGCATCCCAAGATTAAGAGAGTCCTGAAAACAGAGAGGTTCCCCCCTTATTCAACCCTGATAAGTAAGGCTCACCGTTTGAACCTTGGCCAACATCGGAGGTACACGGACTTTCCACATGTCTAGCCTATCGCATCTTTTCTGAGACCCCAGTAGTGACCTCCCAATCAGCGGCTTGGCTTGGACGTTGGGGCCTTCTTTGCTTGGTTTCAAAAGGCACTGAGTGGTTTGCTGGTCCGTTCAAGCCTTTCAATTTTCAAGAAACGGGCACTGAGCCTCAACAAAAAGAGACCCGAGGGCTCAAGGGATTCTTCTTCTGGCGACACTTGTGAAGTCTGAATTCAAGTAGAGCCTGGTGGAAGGGTTGCCTTCCTGTTGGTGTCCCTTTCCATCGGAAGAAAAAACCGGTGGCTTTTTGAAGTTTGAAATAAGGTACGTGTCTTCTTTGGGATTTGCTGTGAATTGTATCCGTTGCGTTGAAAGGAGTGCGGTCATGCTTGGCCTTGGCAAATAGTTTGTACGTGGCTTGGTGGAAGCCCAGACATGCTCCGCATCCTTCAATCGGGATGGGATGGTGAGATGCAGTGATGTGTGCAGAGGGTGGGACAACATTGGTTTAAACGCCCGGAATTTTTACTGGGAATGCTTAAACGAGCAGGTTGGTTAAACAAGGGTTGTTTACATAGGATGTGTTTACAGGGGCTTGGCCCCACTCTGGTGCAGATGCCTGCTTCAAACCCCCCCGGCACTGAGAACGTGGCAGGATGGAGCATGTTTGAATTCTGGGATTTCCAATCCAATACCAAGATTCTTCATCTAGAAGGGCTAAACCACGCCATGGGGTCGAATGGGAGCACCCGGGTTGGGCTCTGCCCAGGTTGGCTTGATTGCCTTTCAACTCAACCAAAGGGCAGGTCCTTTTACAAAGGTCGCAAGGGGGACAACAGGGGAGGGGCAGACAATATGACGGGGCAAGAACAGTGTTTGTTGTGTATCTCTTTTTGGAGGTGTGTTATTCCAAACTATGTTGTTTGTTTGCAAACACTGTCAGTGTGCGTGTGTGTCTGTGTGTGTGTGTGTGGGTGTTGTTTGTGTTTCGTGTTTGCTTTGTCAATGTTGTAGTTCTATTGTGTATTAAGCAAATAGATTATCCAAAAGCTAATTTGCGCTTGTTTGTGTGTGTGTGTGTGAGTGAGTTTTGCTGGGCATCCAATTAGTTTATGTTTCTTTCTACTTTAAGCCTGGCTTCCCTTTTGCGCCTTCCATTTATCATGTATTTGGGCGTTCTATGACGACGTCACTAGGGGGTGTGACGTCACCCATGAAGGTTTCTTTCATAGGCATTCCTTCTTTTCCGCTGGTGAAGTATAGTATTTGTCAACAAAGGGAAATAAATCACATTTGCCCAGATGAAAAAAAGTTTGCCCAGACTTCATCCTTCCCTTCAAACCCATTGGGGGTTTAGGCAAACCCAAGGGCCTAGTTTCGCCTGTCAGGAGCTTTCAGTCCGACCTGGGGCAAGCCTTTTGCTTTTGCGAGGTGGGTGCCTACAAGAAGCTCGGAATTAAGAACTGGCCATGGGTCAAAAATCCAAATCGGACCCCCAGTCAACATCCCAACCCCCACTAAAATAGACTAAACTGGGTGGTGCACCTACCCCAAAATGATACCATTTGTTTTGACCCACAGCCAACTTGGTGGACCTTGTGTTGTGGTGTCTTTTTTATTCTTCTTTTTTTTCATTTGGCTGAAAAGAGTGGTTTCCCCTGTTGGTTTCAACGGGATTCTATCACTACTGGAAATGTTGACTCGTTTTTTCAGGGGGCTTAAACAACACCAATTTGGGATCTGCATGCGTGTCTTGTTTGTTGGTTTTTGTTTCCCTTTAGTTGCATTGTTCTTTTTTGGATCCCCCCTCCGCAAAAGGGAGCATGGGGAGGGGGTGACTGTTCGGGTTGGTTCTTGTTGTGTTGTTCTATGTTTTTGTTTTCTGTTCTGACTCAGGCCTCCCTTGCGTTGTTTTAGGCTTGCTTTTGGTTTGTCGAAAGACCTTAACTTTCGGGGGTCAAAGACCAAAGAAGTGAGCGACTCGGAACCGAGGGACAAAGACCAACCAAACCCCGGTGACAGACAGAGACCGAAGATAGCTTTTTAAAGGCGCAAAGAGTGAATTGCCATTCCGGGTCCAGTTCGGCGCATCAAGGCGATGTCTTTGGCCGCCAAGATGCTAGTTTTGGATTTGGTCAGACAGTTTAAAGCTGTCATTTTCCTTCGGTTTCCCCTAGGAATTCCAGCGACGCTACGCCCATCGGCACTGTGCAAGAGTGCCGCTGGGATGATCGAGTGCACGTCCGGCTCGGGTTGCAGGGAGCGTTTGGCTGTGGAGCCTTTGGTTGTAGGGACTCAACGATCTTGCTAAGGGGAAGGAGTTGGACACCTGCAAGCTGCCAGAAAAGAACAAAAAAGGCGTTCTGGCTGGATTCGGCTTGTTCGCGAATATTTAGGGCAGCCATACAAGCCCCCCCAATTCAATCCCGAAGCGTTTAGGCCTCATTTGACCCCAAGACCATGCCGCAAGGCTTTTGCCTGAGGGAGAGGAGCCTTCTCCAGTCCCCTGAGAACACGTCCATGGGACATGTTCTCGGACTTGGTACCTGAGTTTACCTGATTTTACCTCATCTGGACTGGCCCAAGAAAAGCTGAGAAGCGCACTGGTGCCCCATGATTGGTGACATTGATGCCCAGGGCCACTTAGAGAACCCCTATTATATATATATATATACCTGTTTGGCCTGCATATCATGGTGTGGTGGCTCTGGCTCTTAGACCCATTTGCCCAAATCCGGATTCAGAGCCACAGCACTTTTGTAGTTCTTAATAGTTCATATGAGGGGGATTCTACCCTCGAAACCGCTGCCTACAAAAACCGTTCGTATGGTGGTTGTATGCCACTGTTTTTCCTTAGGTTCTTCGGAGGAAATCCTTGACTGAAGTGACTGTGCAACCTTGATTCTCTGGATTTGCAGCAGTTCTTCCTTCTTGAAGGGTGCTCTTTCAAATTCTGATGCATCCAAACTGGTAGCCCTGGGGCCTGTGTGGCCCTGGCCAACTTGAGAGGTGGTGAACGAAGTGTGTCACCAGACCTCACACATTTTGCGCATTTGCATTGCGGCCACAGAACGTCATGTCAGCTTTGCACCTCTGTTCAGATTTCACGTTGCTCGCCTCATTGTCTCTGAAGGTCGCTCAGCCCCATTGGACACATAAGTTCTTGAGTGCTATTGGGTTGGATCTTTAGACTTCAACTTTTTGGAAATCAAGGGTTTTTCCAGTGAACCCGCAATAAGTTAAATTTTTTGCAGAGGGGTCAACAGCAACCAAGAGTTTCGCTTTCCAGAAAGCAGCCCGTAGGAAACGGCGAGCGAATTTGAGGTCTTGCCTGCAGCGATATCCTGCCTGGCAGCACCACCCTGTACCCGAGCTCCAAGTACAGCCGCTTGGCTTCAGTGCGTGACCAATTTCTCTACCACTCTCTAAAAAGGGACAAAGTAGTCATGGGCATGGGAATGCTTTGGTATCACAGAAAGAATGGCTTCCACAGCGATGCAAAAGCAGTGGCTAATCTGTGCCACCGTCGATATTCAGCGATTTGGCCGGTATCTCATACTAATTCTAGCAGCAGATTCCAACATATCTTGCCTGCTATTAGGTTGGATCTTTAGACTTTAACTTTTTGGGAAATCAAGGGGTTTGCCACTAAAGCCCCAAAAAGTTAAACTTGTTGCAGGGGGGTCAACAGCAGCCAAGCTATGGCCCCTGTGGGAGTAATACTAAGATGGTCCAGGAAGCAGCTAAGCGCACGCTCATCCGCGGCTGGCCCCCATTTTATTCCGTTTGCAAACCCTTCGATCTAGGGTTACCAACTGCTTAGCTAACCCCCAGAACATCAAGTAGTAGGCGCTAAAGGGTCATAGGCCGTAGGCCGGCCATGGCCGGTTCTCGGGCCAAAGCTTTCTAATTTTGAAGACCTGTATAATTGATGGGCCCACTTGCAAAGCAGATCCAACATTACGCTTGTTGGTTGCATGTTCAGACAAGCTATAGTCTTGGTTGTTCGACGACCCTGTCTGGGGTAAGCTGGCTTGCAAACAACTTGCTTAGGTTGGAGCAGACGGGTTTCAGCTAGCATGCTTGCACCAATTCACAATCATGTGTTTCTCGAGTTCAAAAGGAGCCCATTTCTTAGATACCATTTATCGAGTGTCAGCCAACCAGTCGAACCAAACGCACTTGGGTATATGCCAAACCTTGACCCACCTCACCTTTCAGGCGGCACCTCTCCGGACCTTTCGACTGAGGCCACGAGTGCATTTGCCCCGCTGGCAGCTTCTGGCACCGGCCAGTGGAAGGCTCGGAGGAATCGATGAACAGTTAGATCCGGGACGCTCCCACCCTACATGGAACCTGACAGGACCCAATCCCTTTAAAAGGAACATGGTTGAAACCAGACCCCCCGGAACGTCAGGTTGCATGTGAAAAGGGTATATAAGAGGGTAAATGGTGAGTACCACTTGCGGTGGGTTTGGTGGGTAACCAGGGCGAACCATTGAGCTAAGCTTTGGACCGTCTTAGTTCTATTTAGGATGTTTTGTACCATACATCTTTGCCCTACCGTTGTAGAAAGCATTTAAATCCGAGGGTTGAGCGTTGACCAAGACACAGCGGAAGCAGAGATTGCCTGGGTGATTCGGCAGGCCAGGGGGGGGGGCATCGGTTTCTGTGAAGGGAATGTCCTCTTTTGGTCAACCTGCTCGTAGAGTCTCCTTGTGAACCAGTGCTAAATAGTGATTTGGGTGCATAATGTTGCATTCCCTGAAAAGAAGCACACAGTTTCCTGATTTGTTCAACAAATCTAAACGAACCCTCCCAAATGATCGCTTTTGTTTGTGGGTTCTTGACTTCTTCGCATACTTCAAGGTCTACGTGTTTCTTGGGTTCCTCAAATCAAGCAGGTGCCAGCACCCACTCGTTTTCTCCGGGTCGCAGATGTGGTCGCGTCTCGATGCGCCTCGGTCGCGCCTGGCGACCCGCGCCGGCGAGGCGCTGCGGCCCTGTGCAAGGCCTGCGGCTTGGGACTCCTGTGCCCCGGGGGCCGAGGCCAAGCCTTCAACGCGACGGCGCCGCACCAGGCGACGGAGATCCGATTTTTGAGTTGTTGTTCTGTTCTTTTCTCTTTTTTTGTTGGGGGGGCGTGGGGGAGGGGGGAGGGGGGGGTGGGGGGATGGAACTTATTGTTTGTTTTTTGTTTGGGGGGGAATCGTTGATTTGTTTTATTCCTTTGTTTCTTTTTGGCCCGGGGGAGGGGGAGGGAGGGAATCGATGTTTTGGTGGCGCACGTGAAATCCAATTTGTGTGGTCAACAGGTTTCCGTGTTCTACCTTTCGGGGCACAGGTGGCAACTGTTTTGCGGAGCCAGGATTACTCCCCTACCATTTATCGTGGAACCCACCAAGGCCTTGGTTTGCCCGAAAGGTCACTCCTCGATCGATCTACGAAGGGCTGGGTTTAGGGTTTCCGTTGGTTGCCCACCAACTACCGAGTGCAACCCCAGGAGTGCAACCATCGCTCTGGTCCAATGAGAGCCACGCGCTTTGGTGAGGGTCGTGGCCAAGTTTTTCGTGAGTTTGTAGAGGGGCCGTAGGATTTTTACGAGTCAAGTCCTTGAGTCCTGAATTTGATGTTAACATACCCAACCCAATTCCAACTATTTAGGCCATAGGGTTAGCCCATACCAAGAATTGGCGAGAGATATTGTGGAGATATGATATTTGGAAGTAGATGACAGACATCCAACTTATGTTGGTCTCGTCATCCTCTTTACTTACCCATATTCAAAGGGAGACCCATATTCAAAGGGAGTTGTGCCATCTACGCTCATCCTAACCCTGGCGTTCCAGAACGAAAATAGTTGCCTAGGAACCCAATTTAGATGATGACAATCCTTACATTGGTAAACACCGGTGGCTGTATATTAACCCAGCCATTGCTGGAAGATGGTGGTACTGTGGGTCCACTGTGGGTGGACAAATTCCTGCCTGCACCACGTTGAAACCATGGGAAGCCATTTGTTTGTTGGTATTTTCAGTGGAATCATCCTTCCAGGGTTTCTTAGGCGGTGCAGGATTTTGTCCATCCACAGCAGCTCAATCCCAGGGCAAACCCATGCTCCCCACTCGCAGACGGAATTCGCTCGCTTCTTGCCTAGGCACCACTGCAGGCCGAGGGCTACTCAGCAGGGGTGGGCGCCTATGAGGGCGCAGACCCCGCCTATGTGGTGGAGTGCTTTGGGTAGCAAAGTCGCGGTGCGGGGCGGAAAGTGGGGTTTGTCTCAGAATAGGTTATGGGAACCTCCACCCCCCAACAAAAAAACAACAAGAATAAATAAATTCATAAATGGATGAATAAATAGCAACACACACAAGGGTTCAATATGGGTGTTCTCAACACACGGGATCCCCGAGCTGTGAATGGCTTTTGGGAAACCAACCACCTGGGGTTCGGCTCGGCTCCCAGGTGCAGCAGCATGACCCGCTGCCCCGGGCAGCAGCTCGGCGTAAAAAAAATGCCGCAGAGTAGCCGCAGTACGTGTGGCTGTGGTGGTCAAAACCGTTTTGGGATCCCATTTTGGTTGGTAGGTGAATTTTCACCTCCCATTTTAGGCTTCCTATTTTAGTGGTTGGATTGAATCGGATGTTCACTGGGGGCTAACCGATTTGGATTTTGACCCATGGCCATGTATTCTGGGTAGGTGGGTTTTTCTGCTATAGGTCCCCCCAGACATTGGTGTCCAGGCCTCCGTTTTTTTTTGTTTGTTTGTGTGTGTGTGTGTTTTTGTTTGTTTAGTTGAAGACCAACATGAAGCCGCAAAAAGCCATCTGTTTTTTTTCCGGAAGCTTCCATTTGCTCGTTCGGGTTTCTGCTGCAGTTTCAGGGCGTAGATCCCAAACAGGCCATTCTTTTCTCCAACCCTTTCCTCCAAACATATCCATCCGATTGCCCTCCCGACTTGATGATTGAAGGGGTACTTGGTGGCTCGCGTGTGAGCCTGGAGGTTGAGGCACTCCAAGGAGTAGAGGAGCAGATCAGGGGGAAACAACGGGCACAGAAGCCTCAAATAAACGATCTCGTGTTGTGTGTTTGTGTCTCTGTCTGTACTTGCGTATCTGCCTGCCTGTGCCTGTGCTTGCGCCTGTGCTTGCGCCTGTGCCTGTGTTTGTGTATATGCTTTCTGCACCAAATATGTGGAGCTCACACCGCATGGTAAAGCGAGCTCAGACCAAATGATGAATGTCTCTTCCTTATGGGTCCGACGATTCGGGTCGGTGACATGTTGTGATTTCCCACATTGGCGAAGGCACCAGGTGAAGTCCTATTTGTATCTTCTTCCTCTGAAGGAAGACTCGGTGAATGGAACTACTCTACCGCGGGAAATGACGATGACTATACATTGCCTAGATCAAAGGGACCCTATCAACTGCCCCCTCAACCGTAAAGCCTCCAGTTGGCCTTGTCTATAGCCTTGGTTCCTTATTTCCCTTACTGAGTCTTCTAGGCTCCTAAATCTTGGGGTTTGGGGGATCGAATCAACTGTAGCTTCCATTAACTGAAAAAGGAGGGGATGTAGGGCTGACTAGAAGGCATCTCCCACAGTTTGCGTGGGTCCATGGACAGGTTGGGTTCTAGGAGACCCCAATCCTGGAGAGTAGACTATAGAGTTCATAAATTCCTCCAGACATGGGCTTTGTGGGTCCGCGTCAACCTGCATGATACTGAATAATCTTGGGGAAGTCTCTGGAAAATATAGAGGTGGACGTTGAAGGAAACCACAAGGAACCGACCATTCCCAGGATTTAGAGGCTCCAGGATGTTGTTGGGCGTGATCTTTGATCTACAAAAGTTCTCCTGCTCCCCCAACAAACAGCCTCAGTTTTGGCCCGCTTCCATGGGGCTGTGCTGTCAGCAAGGCTCAGAAAGGGATTGCTCAGACCTGGAGCTTGGGTTTCAAAAGGAAGCCAAAGCTGACAGTTTTGATAAATCTTCAGGGGTCCACCCCCAGCAATGGGCAGTGGTTTCCTTGCTTTCCATTGAACCAAAAGCCGGCCCCAACCTTTTGAAGCAAACAGACCCGGTTTCTAGCACCCCTCAAACATGTTCCCACCCCCAGCCCTACCACAACTCCAGTTTTTCCATTTCATACTGTTACCCCCACAACTCCAGCTCCAGTTTGGGTTTTTACGTTTGTGTTTGACGTCTGGTGGTTTGGTCGTATTGGACCCACCGGGACCCGCTGGGGACGCCTCCAGAGGCTGCCGCTGGGCGCGTGCCCCGCCTTCTCCTCCGGCGTCGCCTGCCTGGCCTGCGACGAGGGCACCTACGACGACGGGGGCGCCTGCCTCTCCTGCACTGAGGCGCACGGGTCAAAGCCGATGGGATCCCATTTTTTTGGTAGCTGAGTTCATTCGGTTGGATTGATGTTCACTACGTGTTTTATAGCTGAATTCACCACCCATTTTAGGCTTCCTGTTTTAGTGGTTGGATTGGGATTGAATCGGAGGTTCACTGGGGGCTACCCATGGCCAGGCGCCGTACGGTGGGTGGGGCGAAGTACGGTATGGTGGGAGGTGTCGGTGGGCTGTTGTGTGTGGTGCTTGAGAAGCCAATTTTTTGGCGAGAGAAGGGCGTGAGATTTTGAATGTAGTCTTTCCAGGGATGACTTCCAGAACAAGAATCCAGGAAGGCTGAGATTTCGAGTCCAAGGGGTTTCGGGAAAGCGAGCTTTTGGAGTGATGTTGAAAGCACGACTGTAACAAGCTCCAACAAGAACCACAACATTCTATGGGGATCCAGATTCGACCGGTTGATGAAGCACACATGAAGGCTCCTTTCATGCGGAGTTCTTCATTATTTGGGTTTGGTGAGTTAAGAGTCTTGACAGTTGGTTCTTGTCGCGCATTGGTTGCCTTTTCGGCTGTTTCCCTCTAGCGATTCCTAAAATGGGTGTGTCTGCTTTGAGGGTATTATGTTGCGGGTGGGTTGAGAAGGAAGCCACAAAAGGAAAACCAACATCTTTCTGCAGGGCTCCTTAAAAGATACATTTTGCAACCATTTGAAACATGGCTTTTTCAACACCAAACAAAAAGAAATGGAAACCACCATTTACAAGTTGCAATGTTCAGGTGTATTCACCGCATCCGGATCCCTGTTCTGGGTACCCCTATTTCGAGCCACACACCCAGCCGCGGTTTGCACGGGGCAGCGAGGGCGGGAGCTTCGCACTGCTGCCGCTGGCGGTGGCTCTGGTGGCTGCGGCGCTTGGAATGGTCGCCCTCTACAAGTTCGCCACGAAGGCGGTTCCGGGGCAGGACGGAATCGGGAGCCATCTGGGTGTGGCTCAAAATTAACCAGGAGGGGTTACGCAGGTTTTGGTCCATGTTTCCACTTACCAGGGTTCCATTTTGGCACCGGTTTTTGGAGCCACCCATCTGTGGGTCAAAGATAGGTACCCAAAATGGGCCGCGAGCCCTGGGAGGACACATGGACTATCTGCGGTCCATTTCCTGGTGGTTTAATTTTGACCCACACCCTGGGTGATTTGGGATCCCCTGCTTCGAGACACTCCCATCTCTCGCATGTGTCTTTTGTTCACATACCCCCAAAATGGCTTCGGTCTTCCTCGTGGTTTTCCTTCACCACCAGAAAGAGGCACCCTCAAAAATAGACACGCCCATATGGCTCGTGTTTTAGAGGGTGACCCACTTTTAGTTTCATAGGAAACCAAAAGGATGACAGCCAATCTTCAGGGCACCTATGTTTGCGCATACCCATATGGGTGTCCTTCTTTCAGGCTGGGGGACTGTGGTAGTGCACTTTTGCGACTTTGAGGTTTCATATGAGCAAGTTGTACGCCTGCTTTGCTGAAGAGTGTGTGTAACTTTGAGTTCTGAATCATTCAATGGGGTCTACATGGATTGCAACATGCTGCTAGTTGTTGCTGGTTTCGAGCCAGAGTGGCTTCGATTATCTTGGCATCCTTCTGTTCACTCCTGTTTGGTATTAGTATTGAGTTGTTATCCAATCATAATTTAGTTAAGGAAGACAAACTGATTGTTTCTTCTAGTTTGTCTGCCCCCTTAAAAGGAGTGAACCAGATCCAAGGAACATGCAATTTCAGTAATGCAACGCTTAAGTGTACAACGTATATATTTGTTGAAATCAACTTAAGAGTTGTTTGTTGACAATATTAAAAAGGGAGTTCCTCTCCAAGCATAGCTTTAGAAAAAAAAGAAAGAATAGCCTCTAATAAGGAGACCAGCTGGTCTTGTGTCTTTCAATTTGCCAGACCCAGAAAAAAGAAGCAAACAACCAGCAAAGGCCACGGGAAATTTTGCCATTGCCATTCCAAGTGGTTTGCAAGTTTTACATTGCAAGACGTCCAGCTTAACGGGGATTTAGTTATAACTCAATTTAAAGTCGTATTGTCTTATAGTGAATTGGATGTTTTTTTTAGTACCTTCTTCCAACTAGGATTTCAATTGGGTTGTTAGTGTTTTTGTCATCCCGAGTTGTTTTTGTTGGTTTTCTGCTATCAGTTGTGGTTTTGCTTGGGCTTGTTCGGTAAATTCTAGGGGCCGCCCCCCCCCCCCCCCCCCCAAAGAAACAAAGAAACAGAAAAAGATGGTTGTCCTTTGGGCTTCTATTTAAAACCATCCAAGAAAAGGGTACCCTCAAAACAGACACGCCCATGTGTGTCTCCTTTTTTTTGGTTGATTTCAGAGAAAAGCTAAGAATCAATGCCCAGTCGTCCCATTTTGACGGAGTCGTCCGTGGACTTCGCGGCTGAGATCCAGATCTGCATTTCCCGGGACTTCCAGTGGCAATCGGATGGAAACCAGCAGTAGATGGTCAGTGAGCTTAAAGCCCAGTGAACTCCAATCAACCCCCCCCCCCCCAATCAAGTCCCAGAAGTCCCAGGTAATTCTTGCTATGTGGCCTTTGTTGAGACTCGCTTACTGACTGTCGAAACATGTTTAAATGTTAATTTCTCTAGTGGGGACCCTAAAACATCCTAAACCTTTTGCAGTGCCCTGCCTGTCACCACTGGACTTGTTGTTGACACTGTTTGTGTTGGTTTCGTGGTGGCGGTAGCGTTGACTGTGAGTGCCATGCCAAGCACCAAGCTTAGGGCCTTCGCTGTTGAAAGATTCGGGCAGATCGGGCATCGGGGGACCATATGAGTGTGGGGTTGCCCAACTAGGTCCCCCAGTAGTGCCCTTTCTCACCCCTTTTTTGGTTGGGAGGGTTCCCCTACTAAAATAGACTACAGAAACAAATCGGGTACCCTTATTTCAACCTCTGAAATCTGGAGGACCTAGCCAAGTCTGTTTTTGTCTTTGGGTGTGAGCGGGTCATGTCAACCTCGACTCTAAGCAGAACCTCGAATCAAAACAAAAAGATCAGTGGGTCACCACCTTATGCATTTGGTTTACTCCTGGCTTTTGGTTTATATGCTTTCCAGAACGATGAAAGATAACCAAGAACCAGACAATCAAAGACATCAGCATTCCGGGAGTTGACACGAGCTCATGATGAAGCTGCATTACTTTGAGAAGCTATTCTTGTTTCAGGCTTTGAAGTCGTTTTAGGGGAACAACTGAAGCCACCACAGGCTGGTTGAAATGCAAACCAAAAAGGGGGTGATGTGGTTGTGTTTCTGAAAACCAAATCCAGATCCCATTGCATGGCTTCCATGATTGTACCATTGGCCAGGTGGAAAAGCCGCACCGGGATGCCCTGATGACGGCGACCCGGTGGAAACGTACAAAAGGCCCCGCCGTGAGTTTTCCAGGGCCCCTTAAAGGATACCATGCATTTTGACGGGGGACCACCTCAACAATCCCGGCAGAGTTTTGCACTCCACCAAAAAAACAATGGAAAGTCATACACACGTTTGGTTGTATTGAAGAAACACATGCAGCAGCTGATTTGGAGCATCCCAAGGTTTCCTTCAAGAAACTTTGCCATTTTTGAACAAACGGTTTTGGGGCTCCGTCTGTTCATCTGCAGGGAGCGCAACAGGGTTTCTGACAAGTCCCATCACCCCACCAGAAGGACACGTGTGATGAAACTACCCAAAATGGAACGAACATACAGGCCAGTGTCCAAGTGGTTTAGATGGTCAACCCGTCATTTTTCAAAGGGACCCTAGGTTTGGAAACTGTGCTTCAGATGAGTTGTTTCATCAAATCAAAGGAGGAAGACAGTTCCCCTTTTTGACAGAAGCCAAACAAAGTCAACCAACAAAAACCAACCAACAAAACTCAACCAACAAAAAGTCAACCAACAAAAGACAACCAACCAAAAGTTAACCAACACAAATCATGTCACCCAAAAATCAACCAAAACTCAACCAACCCAAAACCAACCAACACAAAATCAACCAACACAAGGTCAACCAACAATCAACCAACCAGAAATCCACCACCAAAGGGCCAACCGACACAACTCAACCAACAAAAAGTAATCCAAGAGTCAACCAACAAAACATCCACCAACAAATACTCAACCAACAAATACTCAACCAGCAAAAACTCAACCAACAAAGCACCAACCAACAACAACTCAACCAACACAGACTCAACCAACTCAATTCAGCTAACAAAACTCAACCAACAAATCTAAACCAACCAAAAAAATATAGCAACAACAAAGCAACCAACAAACAAGTCACCAAAGAATCAACCAACAAAAAGCCAACCAACAGACTTCAACCAAAAAACAATGAACAAAAGGCCAACCAAGAGTCAATCAACAAAAAGTCAACCAACACCAATTAACCAGCAACAAGTCAACCAAAAATCAACCAACAACAAGTCAACCAAGAATCAGCCAACAACAAGTCAACCAATAATACACCAACAAAAGTCAACCAACACAAATCACCCAACAACAAGTCAACCAAGAATCAACCAACAAAGAGTCAACCAACAAAGCTCAACCAGCAAAAAGTCACCAACACAAAGTGAACCAACAAAAAGTGAATCAACACAAAGTGAACCAACAACAAGTCAACCACAAGTCAACCAATAACAAAGTCAACCAACACAAATCAACCAACAACAACGCAACCAACACAAATCAACCAATAACAAGTCAATCAATAAACAGGTCAACCAACACCAATCAACCAACACCAATCAACCAACAAGAAGTCAACGAAGAGGCAATCAACAAGAAGTCAAGCCAGCACGAATCAACCAACAAACAACATGTCAACCAACAATCAACCTACGACAGGTCAACCAAGAAGCAAACAACAACAAGTCAACCAATAATAAACCAACAAAAAGTCAACCAACACAAATCACCCAACACCAAGTCAACCAAGAATCAACCAACAAAGAGTCAACCAACACAGCTCAACCAGCAAAAAGTCACCAACACAAAGTGAGCCAACAAAAAGTGAACCAACAAAGTGAATCAACACAAAGTGAACCAAACAACAAGTCATCCACGAGTCAATCAATAAGAAGTCAACTAACACCAATCAACCAACACCAATCAACCACCAACAAGTCAACGAAGAGGCAATCAACAAGAAGTCAAGCCAGCACGAATCAACCAACAAACAACAAGTCAACCAACAATCAACCTACGACCAGTCAACCAAGAAGCAATCAACAACAAGTCAACCAAGAGTAAGCCAACAGAGAGTTAACCAACACAAATCAACCAAACAAACTCAACTGAACATCGACCAACTAAACTTCAACCAACTAAACGTCAACCAACACAAAGTGAACCAACACACAGTGAACCAAGAAAAGCTCCTCCAACAAAGAGTCAACCAACAAAAAGTCAAGCAACAAAGCGCTAACCAACAACAGAATCACCAACAAAGAGTGAACCAACAAAAAGTCAACCAACGAAGAGTCAACCAACAAAAGTCAACCAACAAACACCAACCAACAAAAAATCCACCAACAAAGAGTCAACCAACAAAGAGTCAACCCACACAATTTCAACCAAGACAAGTTAACCAACAAAAAATCCAATGACAAAGAGTCAGCCAACAAACACTCAACCAGCGAAGAGTCAACCAACAAAAAGTCAACCAACCAATAGATAACCAGCAGAAATTTACCGACAAAAAGTGAACCAACAAAGAGTCAACAAACAAAGAGTTAACCAACAAAAAACACCAACAAAGAATCAACCAACAAATGCGGAACACACAAAGAGTCAGCCAACCAACCAACAACACATCCACCAACAAAGCGTCAACCAATTCAATGTCAACCAACAAGGAGTCAACCAACAAAAAGCTCCACCAACAAAGCTTCAACCAACAACGAGTCAACCAACAAAGAGACAACCAACAATAAATCCACCAACAAAGAGTCAGCCAGCAAAGAGTCAACCAACAAAGCGCTAACCAACACAAATCAGCAAATCTTGTTTTCTTTGAACAACTAGAGACCAAGGGCGCCAATTCCTCTCCCATGGACCCCCACGTCCATTTCGAGGTGACCATCGGCGCGGGTTTGGCCATCGCCACGGTGCAGACGCTCTCGGCCTTCAGCAAGGCGGGGGCAGTTTGGGCGGGGAGTCCACCCAAATGGCCAGCTGTTCGGTTGGTTTCTGCAAGTTTCAGTGGTGTTTTCTATTGGTTTCTGCGGGTTGCTAGGCGTTTTGTAGTTGTTTCTGTAGGTTTCTGTGGCGTCTTATTGGTTTCGCTGGTTTCTAGGCGTTTTCTATTGATTTCTGTGGGTTTCTGTTGAGTTTTCTATTGGTTTCGCTGGTTGGTAGGCGTTTTCTTTTGGTTTCTGCGGTTTTGTACGCGCTTTCTGTTGTTTTGTGCGGGTGTCTAGGTGTTTTCTGTCGGTTTCTGTGGGTTAGGCGTTTTCTGTGGGTGTCCCTTTGAAAGCAAGCAAAGGAGGATATCCATAGTGTGTTGTTTTTGGAGGTTGGTACCCCTCTTTTGGTTGGTTGTAAAGATAAAAGGAAACCGTCATTTGTTGGGGGAGGGGGTTTTGTAAACCAAGACATACCTATTTCTTTGGGTGCGAACTGGTTGTGTATAAGGTGCATGGCTTTCTTTGCAGATCCCCAAAACAGATTCAGGGCCCCAAAACGTTGAGGACAAACGGCCGGTCGGACTGACAAGTTTGGTGGCGTCTGCCTCAGTGGGTGCCAGTGGCCGAACCATTTTGCCGCGCTACATGGGTGTGTCAACTTTTGATCCCATTTTCTGGTGGCTTCAAAGGAGAACCAAAAGGACAACCAGCATTTTGCTGTCGTCCCCTGAGAAAGACGACACCCAACTTACCCTAGCTTTCACTTGGTCGGTCTTTCGAGGGTTTCCGGACTGGAGAAGGACACTATTCAAGATGGTCAGGACCCATTCTGTCAATGGTTTGAGTGTTTCGGCGAAATGGAAGCACACCATGGAACTTGCTCCTCTCTAATCAGACGGGCTTGCTCCTCTCGCATTTTTTCCACATTTAGAGTGTGTCAATGCACCTGATCAAGATCCCACATGTCCTTTTCCCCTTTTTGCCCAAGTTCTGGATGGGTCTGTCAAGGTCAAGGTCCCGGGTGAGCAAACTGTGCGAGGGCCCCGTGTTTAGGCAGATGTCCCTTGAAACTCAACAGGCAAGTCCTTTGTAAATGTCTGCATTTGCTCCAGACTCAATATGGCTGCGAGTCAATTTATAAGGTCCGGAACAGGGTCCGGAACCCACATGCGATCCAGACCTCCGTTCCAGACCTCCGTTCCAGACCTTGCCTAGAAACATGATCCAGACCTTCCGTTCCAGACCTTGTTTAGAAATTTATGTCTAGTTTAGAGTATTTACGGTAAGGTGATTTGGTAGGTTATTGACTCCCCCCTTTGTTTTGCCAAATGCTACGCGTTAAGGCTGGTGTTCGAGAGAAGCCTGAGGTGCTAACGATGGGGTTTGCTTGTCGAGCTTTGGTGGTTGGGGCTGCTTGGCTTGTAATCATTGGGACTTGGATGGAATTAAGCAGCGGTCCTGTTGACAGATGTGTTTTTGGAACGGCCTGTGAATGTTAAGGGTCAACCCCGCCGCAATCCCCTGAGCATCGGATTTTGATCCTGATCAATCAATTTCCATGGTTTTGGATTGATTTTGATTTTGAAAAAAATATTGATTTTTTCAAAAGTTCTCTGTTTGATTTGTTTGATTTCATGTTTGAAAAATAGATTGATTCTTGTATTGATTCTATATTGATTTTCATATTGATTTTCAGATTGATTTTCATATTGATTTTCATATTGATTTTCATATTGATTTTCATATTGATTTTCATATTGATTTTATTATTGATTTTCATATTGATTTTCACACTGATTTTGTTTAAGGCTTGAGTTCATATAAATAGATACTGATCAACTTCTCAGTCGCGAAGGTGCCAGACAGCTCACTGCGCGCTGTGTTTTGCGGCACGCGTGGCTGGATTTGATTACCGCAGCCATTTTGGTTACAAGCTATATAGCACCTGCGTCTTTCTTTCATTTGCTACGTTTGCACTGTGCTGCCTTTGGAAAAAGGCCTTTGCTTTGTTTTTGCCAGGCGACCCCTTTGAAAAAAGGTCCTACATATAACTCTCAAGCTGGCCTTGCAAAAGGCAGCGCCAAATCTTTGGGAAAAGATGCCCACCTCTGCCCCGCAGGGCAGGGGCGGGGCAAGGCACTTCAAAAAGCCCTATGTCGAGACAGGGCTTCTTCTCAAGCTTTTGAAGAAGCATGAGGACCTGCTGCAGGACCTGAAGGGGTATGAGTCTCTGTCGAGAAACTCAGCAGTGGACCCCAAGGCATTGCACCGATGCCTTCCCCTGGTGGAAGACATTGTGGCCTTGGAGCCTTCTGCAGAAGTGCATCCGCAGCCTCTGAGGAATGCACTTCTGCAGCTGCTGGCCACCAACCCCAAGCTGAACGGCACCAGGTTCAATGGCTCTGTCTGGACAAATATGAAGGCTGAGAGGCTGAATGTGCTACTGAGCCATGTGCGAAAGCTTGCCAGGTCAGGCGGCTCCAGCTGCCTTGCTGCCCTGACAGGGAGTGAGTTCGAAACGCTCACAGAAACCTTGCAAAAGGTTGTCTTGCGGCCAGAGGACGAAGCTGCCTTGGAAAAGGATCGCCCAAGAAAGCAGTCCCTGAACCCTTTGGAAAAAGGCAGAAGCAAGTCGCCAACGCCCAAAAAGAGAAAAGCAGCAGCTGACGATGTGTCTGTGGATTCTGATGGGTTCCCCAAAATGCTTGCCAGCCCATCAGTCTCTGTGCACCAGCCATCAGCCCCAAGCTTTCTGAAGAGAAGGGCGGGGTCGCATGGCAAGCAGCCGAGCGAGGCACCCGAGCCCTTGCACACAGACCTAAGGGAGAGTATGGGATACCTTGACAAAGGCAAAGCACAAGTGCTGAAGAAGCCTGCCTCCAAAGCCTCCGCCCCTTTGCAAAAAGGTGGGAAAGAGAGTGACGCCCTTCCGAAAAGAGTTCCGTGGCTGAAAATCTTTAAAACTACGGGGTCCAAGCCAGAGCGAAGTTACTTGACAGGAACCCATGACTTGAAGGAAAAGAAGAGGCTCATAATTGAAGTAACCAAAACTAGGAGCAGGCAGTATTCTTTTGTGATTGATAAAATCAAAGAAGCCTTGGAAAAGGAGTCCCTGACAAAAGAGGAAGCCTTCACGTTGAGGGACAAATTGTGTGCCAAGCACCCTTGAAAAAGGCAGGCCCTACGCAAAGCAAACGCGCTAGAAGCTCTTGAAAAAGGGCAGCCTTTGAAAAAAGGCAAGGGTTGCCAAAGTGCAAACCGCTGCGCACAAGGAGGTGGACGTGAAAGGAAAATGTGAGGCGGCACTGTTTCCCTTGATAAAACCCACCTCCCTACCACTATATTATAACTAAGGGGCAGTTTACCCTTTTAGTTTTTAGGGGATGGCTTGCTTCCCTAAGGTCCATCTTTTTTGCATGTGGGGTTGGGAAGTGGATGGGTGGTCTTTTGAATGGGTGGTCTTTTTAAAGAATCGGTTTCAAAACATGCTTCACGCCGCAGCAATTTGAGCCTCAAGCTACTTCTTTTTGTTTTGCATCTGCGCGTGTGCAAGCCTTTGCAAAAAGGCACGTGCGTTGAGTCTGCAAGCCTTTGCAAAAAGGCAATGCCCTGGGTCAACCTGCCCAGGCAAGGGCGGTCAAGCAGGAGGCTGCTGGTGAGTCCGCGTGGGACGCACTCCCTTGGGAAAGGGACAGCTGGGACGTCCCTTGGGAAAGGGACGACTGGGCGGGCTGGGTGGAACACTCTTGGGAAAGAGGGCAGTGGGAGGAGAAGCACCCTTGGCAGAGAAGCAGGTCCCCCAGCCATAGCCAGCGGTCATGGGAGTCCTTGGAAAAGGACAGAAAGCAATGGCACGAGGACAGCGAAAAGGCAAGCCCTGCTCTGGATGGCAAGTCTTGGCTGAGCGTTGCCCAAGGCCCAGCGTTGACCCAGGTCAAGGAAGAGCCTCCCTCTGAGCAAAGCAGCTCCCAGCCTGCCAGCTCTGAGCCCGCCAGCACTGAGCCTGCCATTGAGGCCCCTAAGATGGAAGCAGTCCCCTTGAAAAAGGGCGAGGAGGCCAAGCCCCTTTGCGAAAAGGGAGTGCAAGGAGTCCGCCCCAAAGTCATGGTGGACTTCCACAATGTCTTGGAGGTGGGGGGGGTCATCCCCCCGGCGAATTGCCAGGCCATCCAGAGACTCATTGACCGTGGCTACCCTGTCGTCATTTGCAGCTACGCCTTTGCAAAAAGGGAGCGGGAAGTGATGTCCGAACTGGCCGTCTGCCCATGGTTCGGGGCCTTGGAGAGGGCCTTCTGTGTGCGGGCCCGAACAGGGCGGTGGGGCAAAGCTGCCCACGCCGTGCACCACGGCTGCTCCGTCATGATCGATGACGGAGCAGACATCCTGCAGGAAGGAAACTTCATGAACCTGACAGTCCTTCCTGTCACAACGGCCAGGGAGAAGCACCACTGGTGGAGCCGGGGGGGGGGAGCACCTTCGCCAGCTTGGCTGAGGCAGTGGACCACTTCCTTGTTTTCCCTTGAGAAAGGGACTAGCGTGACCACAGCCTCCAAGCCCCTTGCAAAAGGGGAAAAAAGCAAAGACCAGCCCGCCCGCAAAGTGTGCCGTCCACATCCCTTTGCAAAAAGGGATCAGTCTCACCCGCGTGTCAAGCCTCGCCCCTGCCATATGCCCCTTAAGTTGCATCGCAAACCCTCTACACCCCTCATATCTGTTGATGTCATATATATATATATATTGTTAGGCAATGGCAGGGGTGGGGCGAGACACAAAAAACCAAAGCCTGAAAGAGCAGGCAAAAAAAGCGCGCCCTGCAGCTCAGGGCTACCTCTATAGCTAGGGAAACCCACCTTTTTTATGCGTAGATATGAGGGATGGAAAAGAAAAGGGGAACCCTCTGGAACAGGGTGCCAACCCTTAGGACAGGTAAACCCTTTGAAAAGGACAGTTGGGTTAAGAGCACAGGGCACACCCTTTGTTTTTTTTTTGAGATGGTGTTGTGGAGACTC